CAAAACAGTCGAGATGAAAACATCAAATGCTTTAATAACATAAAAGTGCAGAGCAGGGAAACAGCTAATTTTTTTTATAAAATACTTTTCCTCTTTTAAAGTGCACCTTTTAATCATCCCAAGAAAGCACACAGTTTCTTCCAAAAGGTCACAGGAGAACAAATTATTTCATATTTCAAAAATTTCACAAAATGGTATTAGTTCCACCGGATATGGGAATATAGTCTGATTTTGACATATCAAGAAAGGAAAGTACAAGAAAATAATCTTGAAGCCATTTGAAAAAGGATCAGTTTATCAAAAATTTTGAGTTCAAGTAATTACTGACTGAAGTCTTTTTTCTCTCTGGGAGCATTAGAAAAAGTTGAGATTTATTTAATCAAAACTCTCCTGCTGACAAATATTTTCATATTATTTTGAAAAACTCTAAACTACAAAAATGTGTATCAGATCAGTATTTGAGTCAATAAAGCTAGTAAATCAATTTTGGTATAAACATATTACCCATTTAATGGCAAAGGGTGAAGAACATATGTTTTGCGTAAATAAACTAAGCATTTTCCAGAATGTCTTCAGAATAATTACAAAGAACGTTTTTTCTTTTGTGTCACTGTCATTAGATATTAAAAGTTATATATAAAATCAAACAAAAATCAACCTTTCATTGGAGTTAGTTTTATAAAAAATCTCTTTGGACTTCAAAGGAGATAAGAATACTGAGCATTTGTCGAAATAAGTAGTATGCATAACAGCTTATATTCGATAGGTGAAAAACAGTTTTATTTGATTGATAGAACATTAAAGATTTAATGATTTATTTTCGTTTATCAAAACTCTTAAACGTTCTTCCTTTCCAAAAAAATCTGAGTACTCAAGCAAAAACTGAAACCTCAGAAAAATTTAATTAGATAAATAAATTAATAAAAAATATATATTCAGTAAGCATCATTCATCCATTCCCTTTCATGTAGGCAAAGAAACATCCATGTCTAGCAATAATATGTGAAAAATACAATATGCGAAAATTATAGTATTTACTGCAGTTCTGAACATTTTAGAATGGATCTTTATCTAATTCACATGGACATTATTTTATCTCTTGAGTTTTCATTAAGGTAAAAGTAAGATTAACAACAATAATCAAGCTTGTATGTTTTTGATTGCTATTATTTTATTTACACATTTACTACAATAACAATAATGTATATTCTGATTATCTCTACATATAATAAAAGGAAGACTCTGTGTGTGTGTGTGTGTCTTTCATTCATGCTGCACATATGCTAATAGTCCCAGGGCTACGAAATTTGGTACATAGGTGCATCTACACAAGAGGAGGCACTGCACCTCGAAGCGATTTTTTTCAAAATGCAAATGAGGTTTTTTTTAAATTTCATGTTTTCTGATGAAATCACATCAAATCAATAATTATCTCTCATCATGATCACTGTTGCCATTGTTGCTGATATTGGTATTGTTGCCCCTTAGAAAAATGAAGGCGATAATTCTTTGCAGTTTTTAAATTTAATGTTTGTCTTGGATACTGGATGTTTGTCGAGAGTAGGCAATGGGAAGCATGGAGGTAAGAAAGGAAGGAGGGGCCAAACCCGCATTATGAGTAAAGCATTGCTCCGATGCTCCGGTCTCCAAATGGGCTATTTTTTGTTTACATTCAGAAGCTTCTAAATGCTGCAATCCTCATCAAAATTAATATATATATACACACAGATATGTAAATAAGTTAACTTTTCCTTGATTTAAAACCACACATTCGTGTAAAATTATATACAGTTTCACACAAATGTGTGGAACACAAGACATATACTGTGATAGTTACTGGCAAGAAATCTAATTATTAACTGTATCTAAATTTATAATGATTATAAATATTATTTAAATATATAATAACCTTAACACTGAATTGTAAACAAATTGAAATGCTGTTGAAAAATACATTTATAAAACTATTTAAGCAAGAATTGTTCATACGGGAAAGCAATCTGTTAAAAGGTATTGTAAAGCAAGGAAGAGTTTTAGTTGGTGTATTTAATTATGGCAAAGCACACTAGGGCTATCTGCCTAAGGGGAGGGATGCCTTTGTGGAGGACTTTTTAAGGGAAACTGGCTCGTATACATGTTACACATGGGGAAAACCACGAAAACACCCATGCAGCCAGCCCGTTCGTGGGATTCGAACCTCGGACCGAACTACCAGTGTTCAGCGACTTTACCGCTCGGCCGCTGGTGGGCAGAAAGAGTTTTAGAATATATATTACTGAAATCAAGAGTAAAAAAATATGATAAGTATAATTAAAAGAATTATTTCCTTACATTGTATAATAACTCAGTTACGAGTTTTAAATAATATTTTTAAAAAATCATTTTATTCCCTTTCAGAAATATTCAGAGAAAGTTAAGTACATGGAAATGAGCACCAATATGTAACGTATTTCCCTATTAAAATAAAAGGCGCTTTAATTTGAAATGGATCGAATAGAGCATTAATTATAAATTGGCTTAGATTTTTCAATTTAAAAGATACCTCAGAAGCTAAAACATCATGTCATATATGAGAAAGTATTTTAGGAAGAAGCCCTATAAATTTAATATTAATAATACAATAAACTTTGATCTTAATTTTTGCAATTCTTCACCGAATAAAATCGAATGACCTTAAATTTTTTTTTTCCCTAACACAATTAACGAAAACTTGTGAAAATATTTCATTAAAATTAAACTGTTCTGTGAAAAGTATAGCATTAAATCACTAAATATCGCACTTTTTTTATTTCTTTAATTTACATTTCTAGAGTTTATGGGAAAAATATTTTAATAATTGCTTTATTTTCGGAATTTTTTTACGATGCTGGTTTGTTTCGTCATCGCCAAAACAACGGATCTGTTGGAGAAATTAGCGCACAGCTTTCTGCAATCTAGAAGTTGTTTTTTAAACAGAGAAATGCCGAGCAGCCAAACTGTTAGAATTTTCAGCAAACAATCGTGTATAATTTCATATTTGCTGTAAAGAATTTCTCTTCTCATTAATCTTTCAGACAAAAAAAAAAAAAAAAAAAAAAAAGACAGAAAATAAGACCAGCACAGGTACCACAGATCATATAAAAGGAAACAAATGAATGGAATAAACGTGCTAGCTTCAGATAGGGTTAACAGAATGGCATTTTAGTTTACAGAGATTGGATTGGAAAAGTGATATATTCAAAGTGATATTTTTCACTTTCATACATGCACACAATATAGATAAATTAATCAAATGAAATGAAAATAAATAATTGACATTTTCAAATTTATCATCAACATGTTACAGCTATCCCCTTTATCAGAAAGCAGCCTGTTTTTGACATAATAAAACAAATAGAATAGTGATAAATATTTTTGACATAAAAAATCAGACTCAAATTCTTCATTTATTATCACGATCATGCATTCCATATTGATAAATATCATGTAGGCTTTTATCAGGGTGGGTATTTGTTGCTTGGGCTATTATCACAGTGGAGACTTCTTATGGGATTTTGTTTATGTGGAGACTTCTTATGGGATGGTTTCTATTAAGTGGGCTCTTATTTGCTAAGATCATGCTTTCAGCCCTAGGGGCAGGGAGAAGTGCTACACATCTGCAAAACCATACAATCTCAATAAGTGCCAAATACTGCAGCCCAGTGCCTCTCCTAAATTCTAAAAATTTTCCCGCCCCTGAATTTTGTCACTCAGTGTAGTGGCATCGGCAATGTTGAGGAAATGCTGCATTTTTCTATATGACATAAACGATAAGTGAAGCTGCTATGTTGCCATGTGTCAAGAAGAAGAAAGATTTGTCAATATCCCTTCTTATGATGCATGTTAAGAGTGAAGATGTTGGACAGAACCATCTAATGACAAATTAAAGCATTCACACTATTTACATCGCCTCGGAAAACAATAAAAGTGTATTTTAATAAAGGTTAATTTAAATTTTCTCCATTATTCCCTTAAAATTATTTTGTATACGTAAATTTTCTCACAGAATAAAATCATGTAAAAGAATTACTACAACTGTAAAAAGAGTGCTATCAACAGCTGGACATAAATCAATGACTTCTCATCTACAGTGCTACATTCTACCAACCATTCTACTAGGAATCACAAAAAATGCAGAATAGAATTTATTAGATTATTTATTTTAGGCAAAGCATATGTGTGCTATTTTCTTAAACTCCATCTCATTTCTGCCCAACAGTATCCTGAGGGATGGATGTCAAGAGCTTTTGCTCTCTTCTCTCAACCACCAACTCACACCTTCTTTCAACCAAGATAACTTTCGGTTTGACAGATTTTAAATGCATACTTTCCACAAAGACACTAGTCACAAATAACCATGGATTACCTAGGATTCAAACTCACATTTAATAGCACTGGAAATTGTTAGGCTGCAACAACCACCATACTGTTTGCAGAGGCACAAATGCATGACTTTTAAACAAAATAAACGTTACTCAGAACTAGAGCCTTGATTATCTTTTCTTCTGCAGACAGGTGCATTATTAATTTTTCAAATATATTTATTCCTATCAGTATCCACTATAAGTCTACAGAATTTGGGCAAACCGGGAAGTCTGAAATCCTAGTTCCATTTATCAAGTATAAACGTGAAGACACTCCAAGGAAGTAGTTCATGATGCAAGTTGCACATCAGAAATACCCAAGAAGCTATTTCTTGGTAATACTGAAAATGAAGCTTATAATGAAATTAATTATGTTAAACGATTTTATGTTCTTACTTTACCCATGGAAAAAAAAAGCAATAAAAAATTTTACAAAATGTGGAAGTAAATGTTAAGATTTACTTCCACATTTTGTAAAATTAAAATGTTTAAGCAAAATCTAAAAATTACAAATACACAAGATAACACATTAATGTAAGCAATATAAACTAACATTAATAATTTTAAGTTTTGGAATTGAAACTAAATCGATCGCCAATTAAGAAATCAAACACAAACCTTTGCTTCCGAATCCAAATTGGCAGGATCAGCAGGAATATCAATTTCTACTGTGCGTGTTTCTACAGCTATAACACCTACAGGTATACCTCCTAGACGTGCTCGTCCACATATTACAGTTTGCGCCCATGGCTGCATAATTTCCATGAAAGATCCATAATCAAAGAAGCCATCTTCCCAGAAACCTGCAAGGTCTGTAAATATTTTTCATGTGAAAAGCACAGTGTAAAGATTTTAAACATGTAAACACTATTAATGTTTGAACTACAGCCCCCTTCACTCCCAAGGCCTAGTTATAGGTACTCCTAAATCTTTTAAGATGGATTCACACTAAGACAGAGAGCTGAAAAGCAATGCTAGAGCACAAGAAAGCATTCATACGAGACGTACGAGAATTTATAGATTACACATTTTTACATTGAACTTATAGTGAAGCAAAAAATTTTGCTTTAAAAACTTTTTAGTTGAACCAACTGAATAGCAGCTCTTGAACAAGTTTCCCCATTTGATTCCACTGCAGTAATTCTGAATATGATTGCTCTTCATTTCTTTAGTGACGGTATTAAGCATATTTTTTTTTATTGAAATGGATATAATTACTAGAAAATACAAACTTATTTCACTTTGCATATTACAAATCACAGAATGCAGTAGTTTAAAGTAATTTCTATGTGGGCAATTTAATCAAAGGACAAGGATTGAATGAACTAAATAATTTTTAATTATTTTTATATGATGGCCTATAAATCTGAAGGATTACTGCCAACTTCCTTTAATTAATGAGTTGGCCCCAAGTCCTGACTATTCCAGGCAAAATTCTGCATGGAAAATAAAAATGTTTTGGCAATGTGTCTTATGTTATTCGAGAGAGAAATTTGTGCTCTACAAAATAGTGTGCTTCATTTTTTTATGCTGATACACTTTTTGTTCTTTTCATGTCATTATTTGCTTTTTGTGTTTAATTGAGATGCCAAAGTCACAGAAGCTGCTCAAGAGATATGCAAAGTGTATGGCGAAGAAGCAATGCTTCTTAGGAAGGCTAAAAATTGCTTTAAGCTATTCAGAGATGGTTATTTCTACTGTCAAGGCATTGAACAGTTTGTTGAAAGTTGGGAAAAAGTTATTACATTATTGATTTGTTGTTCATTTCTTGTTTATTTTTGTTGAAACCTAATCTTAAATGTAATGAAGCCTGACTTTTACCTGACTATATGTATCTGCATTTTGCCAACTTTGGCTAAGATTCAAATTCTGCAAGTAAAAATGGCAGCTACAGAAAGCTATCAAGAAAGTAAATGAAGTAAATATTAAGAGATTAAAATTAAATAAATATAAATTTTGAATAAATAATAATAAAAATTATAAATGTATCAAATATAGATGAAATAATTATGGAACTTTTCAAGGTTTCAATAACTATTTATCAACAACAAAGTTTTCATCCCCATAATAAGGGTGAGAAAACAACAGAATGATACAATTAGCTATAGCTGCAGAAATCAGAGAAACATGGCATTAGAATTTTTAGCATAATTCAGCAATTCCAATATCCCTTTTTTTTTTTTTTTTTAATCTATAATCAGTTTATTAAAACTTGAAATGACAGTTTTGTGGAATAATTTTTAGGACTACCATTACTGAAGCTATTATGAATTAGATTTCATGAAGTTTACACACGTTTCAATAACTGAACACTATTATACTGTAATGAAAGAATTTTTTCAAGTGAAAAAAAATTAATATATTACCTATTTTACAAATTAATCTTAAAAATTAGCTTTTGAAACAGTACATGCTTCTTGTAGGCATTAAACACAAAGCTGTTTGGCTTGGGAATAATGTGCCTGCAGAACAAAATATTCTTAAAAGATAAGATTTATATTATTTTTAACTGAATAACATACAAAACACACATGCTAGGGCTTCCTGCCTAAACAAGACGGACTGCCTTCATGGAAACTTTCTAAAGGAAACTAGCTTCACACCACATGAGAAAGTCATAAAAACACCAATGCAACCAGCCCATTTGCTGAGATTTGAACTTGGGTTAAATCATCACTATTCAGTTGCCTCATTTATTTGGCCACAAGTGGTTATAATACGATATGTTTCAGGTATTTGATAGTACAGCAGACCACATACAGATAAAAAATATGAGTGTGCAGTTCCCTTACATGTTGCAGTCTTCTAGCTGTTAAGAGGTGAGAAATGACATACTCTGACATTGCCGAAACAATAACTTATTCAGTGATACTTCAACTTGAGATCACAACAGCCTAACTTCCTGACCAGTGTCAGGGAATTTTAGCAATCTGCACTCTGTCTCTCATCATCAAAGGCCTCTCAATTTTAGGAAGTTGACTGAGGATGATTCTGCAGCTCACCTGATATCATCTTTAACTGTAATGAAGCAAAGAACATAAAACACAACCAAAAACTAAAAAAGGCATGACTAATCTAATCTGCAAAATTATCCAGACACAGTAAGTACATGGATCACTCAAGCTCTTGACTATAGAGATTCTTGCTGCTAAAAAAGATCCTCATAGAAGAGGAAAATAACTGTACTTAATTGCTTCTATGCATTTAATACTGATAATCAATTTTATTGTATGTCAGTAGTGCTTTTCATAGATGCACACACAGCATGGTTTTAAGTGGTACTTATCAAAATTTAACTTGCATATGTTTATTTTACATTAATGGAAATAGTAGCAGCAATTATAAGACAAATATAAGTAGGCATTTCAGTGTTTTCATGTGTATACATACACAATATGCATGTATACACAATGCTTCAAATAAGAATGGTAGCAGATGACTAGTTACTTAAAAAAACGTAAGACCAAAAGAAAGATAATTGTGAAAACATACAAACTATAATACTAACTTAAGATTAATAATTTGTAAACACACAGGATATCAAACAAGTGACAGTAAAGAACCAACTGGCTGCACAAGAACATTACTAGAAGGGATTCAAAAAGAAAAACGTAGCTGAAGTAAAAATCATACATGAAAAATTTCAGTTTTTAAAAATATCCGATATATAGCACAAGTACTAACTAAGTATATCAATTCTATTTTATGGATTACAACTTGCCTATAATGTTATGTGATAAACTATAAACAAAATCTTGCTTTTATATGTAAATTACAAAATGATCTCTGTTTCTCTTTTCACTTTTCTGGCTGCACTGTACAAATAAAGATAACACAAAACTAAAACAATATACACATGGAAAATTATCTATAATTCAATTATATACTCGAATGGTGGCAATTAAATAGTTGAACACTCAAATCTGGGATTTAAATTATAAAAGATTTAATTTTTGAAACGTCCCAACATGCCAATCAGTTTCTTCTTTCTATATGGTGAAAATAGTTTATTTTATGAATGTTGTCTAAAAACTTAAAATTACTTTGCAGGATATGGTACCCATGTTACAAACCTGCTAAAATAATAATAGAGCAGAAATAAATCAAAGACCTAAACTGTACTTTGTACTGTACTCTGAGTTAAAAATAAAATGATCAAATAACCTTTAAATTGCACTTACTTGGACTTTCCCTTCCAGCTAATAAGTACCTTGGATCATATGGAAGTCTTGTAGGGATAAAAATTACATCTCTGTCTACAGGATCTAGTGGTTCCATTATAGGCAGTTCTGCACCTCGACACTATGATACAAACATAATAAGATAAAAAAATGCATATATTTTAAAATAAAAAGAAATTAGACACCAATAGTGACATACTTTTGGCATATAAGAAAGCCACTTCAGCATTATGTAGATTCCTTCAAGATCATCTGGTGCAGTAACATGAGAAACCCCATTATTGTGCATGATTTGAACACCTCCAAGTTGGTTATTGGATGTATATACTTCCCGACCAAGAAGCTTTCAAAAGAATTAAAAAAATTTTCAATCATATACATTCAGTCCCCCCCCGAAAAAAGCACTTTTTACAACATTATTAATGGAAAATACCTTGTTTAATGCACCAGCTCCAGTCAGTATGATATGAGAATTTTCAATCTGAATAACTCTTTGGCCAAGTCTCACAAGGTATGCTCCAATTCCTATTGCTCGGCATGTCACCTATATAAATACGACTCCAATTAGAACAGCAATTCAATGGCTTATTCAATATGATTTCTATACCCACTGAAAATCCATTTAATCATTTCTCCTTACACATAAGGTCAAAGTAAAAAGTAAGTTTCTGATAGGTCAGAGTATTTTAATACACAAGCAAAAAGTTTCATTTATTGAATTGCTTTTTAATTTTTATTTGACAATAAAGCCTGCAACATTATGCTAAAAATATAATTATACATAGCACTGGCCATTTTATATGAACAATTACATGTTTAACATAGGAAAAATGATTTCCTCTTCTTAAGTATATAATTTATGTTAAACATGTGATGAAAATTTCTTTCAAAAGCTATTGTTAAGTTCATTGTTACAATTTATATTTAGATAAGATAGTAAAGTAGATAAACATGTAATGAAAATTTCTTTCAAAACTACTGTTAGCTTCATTGTTATAAATTATATTTACTACAGATATGACAATGACGTAGAAAACAATTGGAAGTCTAGAAGTAAAATCTAAAATAACTGGAAGAATTTTTATATAGTGCAATAAAAAATTACCATGCTTATGGTGATGATATCTTTATAAGCCTGAGAAGATTCACCAGCAATCATTCCAGCACACCTTAAGTTCTTCACACCTAGTCCTTCATCCTTACCTGTAAACAAGATTCACAAAATAAATGTTTTAGATTTTATCATTTAAATAATACTTATATTAATAAATTGTAGCTTATTTTCAAACAGAAGCAAAAGTGTAAACATCTGGGATATTTAGCCATGAAAATTGGTTAGTCGCATAACATTCTCTTATACCATCATACTTATTCTTTCCAAAACTGCTGTACTACACAGAATTGAGTACATTACAGGTAAAATACTTTGAAACCTTAGCCATGAAACTAGCTTAAATATCAGGTAAATTAGACAAGAAATTGCCTTTCTGATACTGATTGTAGTTTTCAGCAAGGCCTAAATGAAAACATCTCATTAAATCCATATCTAAACACCTATTTTAAGAAAATCAAAAACATATACACCACACTTTAACTCGAGTAAAGATTAAAATCTTATATTAATGCATGTCACTGACTTCTTTTGTCATGCTTGAAATTCATAGTTAATTAGATGAGGAAATATTTAATAACCATACTGATTTAAAATCTACAGTATGTATGTTATACATATAAATCTTAAAATGTTAATTGGAGTTTGGATGATAACATGCTGAATATGTGAAATTACAGAAGGTTCATCTGCCTATTTTATTTGTACATTCATCTCATAGTGGTGTCAAAATAGAAGCTGTAATTTGGCAAGACTGGTTGGGATGAAGAATAATTCTGCATAGTCTTCAAATGGAGATAATGGCAAGCAACTTCCAGTATATATGTCTAATAATAAAGATGCACAGTGCATATATATATGTCTAGAATTTTGGAATCTGTCGATTTTGCTTGGTGTTAATGTACGAGGAAATCTCTCAGCTCTCCATACACATTTGCAGTTATCAAAACGAATGATATTCTGAAAACTTGGTGGCTTGAATGCCAGGAGATATGGCTTGTAATCCTTCAGTTATAAAGTTCAGGTGAATCAGTTTGCATCCTCTAGAAATTAAGGTACAAGTTTGCTCAGTGAAAATCAGTTTACCACAATTGAACAAGTCACACATTATCAGCCATCAAATTTACGATTTCTTTGGAGACACTGGTTTATTAGACTGGGCTAACAGAAAGCCAAATGACTAGATTTGAAAGTAACAGAATGATATGTGTTCAAAGAGGTAATATCAATATTGCGCATTAAAACAGACAGGATCCTGCTATTCTGTCCGAAACACTTGAAAGCAGCTTGTTGATCCAAATTTTCTGCTCATGGAAAAATATTTCTTATCCTCACACTAATCAGATCTTCAGATGCCAGTACTGAATGAAGGAAAGCTAAGCTTAGATTGGAGCCAGTCAGCAGGTCTTCGGACATAAATCCAGCAGAAGATGCTTGGCATTACTACCTACAGCTCTTGATGAGTTAAGAATGGTACTTACTTTAAAATTAAATGTCTTTCTGTCCCTAACATTTATGCATCTCAAGAGAAATTTTCCTCCCATCATCAAAATTATTTTCCCACTGGATTGCCTTCACCACCAGTTATGCTGCTGAGGAATTTTTTCTAAATAAAGCTGCAGCATACCATTCACAGATGGTTTGCATTCCATAAACAGAGAACAGCCCTTCTCCATTCATGATGCTTTGATTTTTTGTCTCAAGAGGGGAAAAAATTCATCACAAATTTGTGCTGTGTATACAATTTTGTATACTTCGATAATAACATCAGCCCTTCCACCATGCAAGATTTAAAAAATGCAATAACATATAGCACAAAAATGTATAACATTTCCTACATGAATCAACACAATGAAAGTCATACATGAATGATTTTTTGAAAAATAAGTTATATCAGAACTAAGTTAATAAATAAGAAACACAAGTTAAAAATAAATCAATGTTATACAGGGTTCACAGCCACATTTCAGTTTAAAAAATAAGCACCTATAAGCACTTTTCAAGCACATTTTAAGAAAAAAATAAGCACCCGTTTAATTACATTATACACAACTGTATAACCTTAAAAATTAGACTCGTAATTTAAAATATGAGAAATGCAGTATTTATTAAGAGAGAATAAGCATTACCTCAACCATGGAAAATAATTACTTTTTTTTTAATTTTAAATAACAGTCCAATTTACAGAACTAGTTTACAATGAGAGAAAAAAAACTATGCAGAACTAAACTATATTACAAGATTTAATGATGAAATTTCAGTTCAAAATAGAGGAAATAAATAATAATAAGGCATATTTATTCTATTCGCTTGGAACTTAATAATAAATACAATTTATTTTTCCACTCTTATTGATATTTAACTAATTTAAATCTAAATTCTGAACATTTTCTAAATTTTCATCGTATATCAGTTTTCCCTTAACAGATATTGCAAGCAAAGTAATTTAAATAAAAAAGAGGAACATTTCTGAAATCAGAAGACAGAAATTTGCTTCCTGCAGTCATCCTTTAACAGTAAAAGCTTAACTATACCCGCATACTCGGAAAATTGGCCCAAATATTCCGGATAGTAACTGGAAAAAGAGACAAGGGGAGCAGGGATAGATTGTAGCCGTTCTTTAGATTTCTCCGGCTAAATAAATGCTTTTGACATTTCGATACGTGCATCATATAAACATAGACCAACGGAACTGAAAAATATTCTGCTCTAGCAAAGCACAGTAAAACTCTTTTAAGTGTTCATAAACAAATCTGGAGACTGAACATCAAAATTAATTATCTCTGCAAAATATCGGCAAACGTTATTGCGCAATACGTGCGCCGTAATTCTTCCCTACATGATATTACGCAATCGGATTCAACAGCTGCCGGTATTGGGAGAAACAATCTGGGGTGTTTTTCATTCTGATTTTCAACAAACTGTGCTAAATTTCCGGAATAGAATCATTCTTCACTTGGGTTGGTAGACCGCAGAACTTTTAGTCCTATTCAATCCAGATCGGAAAGTAATAAATAAATAAATTAAAAAAAAAAAGTCCATTGCTTGTTTTGCAGCGAACTATAACAGTTTCAATATTCGAGATTTTGTGGAAAAGGGGAGAACCTCCCAACATTCGTACTGTATAATGTATTGGCCAAAGAAATGAAATTATTTTGACTATTAAATTACTTTCCCTTTATTTAAGCCATTCCGAATATTATTCCTTAGAAAGATAATCTGTGTTAAAACACAACCATTTTTGGAAGTTTACTATACTTCAGCAGTTACTGCAACTATGTTATTATAAACATCCATACATATGCTCATAATATAAGCATAACGATCATAATAAACACGGAACTGACCAAGCGGAACGAGAATGCAAATTATTAAGATCTTGATAGAAATTCAAACGTGTGTAGTATTTGGGTGAGAGGAAAAGAATGCCGAATATACCGGAATTTTCAACTGCTTTCGCAAATTCTTTGACCAACAGAACGACGGGCACCTGTCTGTACTCTCCGTGCAGACCAAAGGTTATGTTAATGCAGAAAAAGGGGGAAAAGCTATTTCCGGGAGTATGATTCACCATCTGACATTCCATATTAGGAAGAAAAGTTGTTTATTTAGTTTTGGCTTTGGTACGGGGAAAAATTGCGCTTTCATTTAAAAAAAAAAAAAAAAAAAAGCACTGAAAGCAAAAAATAAACACTAAAAACAAAAAAATAAGGGCTTTAAAGAAAAAGTAAGCACCTATAAGGGCCTTTATATTTTATTTTTCAAATATAAGGACTTATAAGCACTTATAAGGACCGCTACGAACCCTGTTATACCCAGAAAATAAAATAATTTGTGGTATGCATTTCCACTAGTCATAATGTAAATTGTAACCTATTTTTATTCAACATATAAAGTCACTGTAGCCTGATCTGCTTGTAGTACAGATTCATTTAAATGCATTCTGCAGCTTTTTAGAACACATATTACACTGTGTTATTTTTAATGCTATTTTAATCAATTAAAATTATATCAATTGTAGATTAAAATCAAGCTTAATTTTAATCAACCTATAAAGAGAAGAAAGAAGGGTACAGATAATTTAAGTTCTACAGCACTAAATGCACATCTTTCATTATAAATAAATACTTTAAATTTCAGAAACAAACTACTGAAATTTAAGAATCAGCAAAATGTAGTAAAAATGGTGTGAATTAAGAAAAATAATGAAGAAAAAGAAAAACAGTAAAATTTTCAGAAAATTAAATCAATGCTCATAAGATATCAGAGCAGAAAAAAGAATCAAAGAATCAGTACATATATATGTATTAGTTACATAACTTCATAAATATATAAAGCTTAGATTTATTATCTGTCAGCTCTAGTAATTAGCTTTTTATTACAGGATAATTTTGAAATTAATGAAGTAAGTAATTAATTTTAAATGAATAATAACCAAGCTACAATGCATAGTGAATACAGATTAATATTTGACACAAATTTTTATGTTATGCAATACTATATCAATATCATCAGAAATAAAAGTTAAAAAGTTTTTCGAGGATAATTAAAAATGAGTCTTACCAATAACATCAGTAATTTTGTATCTAGATTCACCTTCATCTTCTATCAAAACAGCATGAATTGAATTCATAGCACTAACTTTCTTAAAATTTTCTGGTGTCAGATACACATATTTGTAACCCTGTAATAAATAAATATGAAAACATGTTAAAGTGTTAGCAAATAATAATAATAATAATACTGATATGCTTACAGAAACAACTCCAAATCAGTTATTCAAAACCAGAACAGTAAAAGAAATACCTTATCAGGATTTTCAGGGTCAATCCATGCTACATTAAAGATATGCTTTATTTCTTCTGCTAATCCAATGCGCGCCCCACTATTTGCAGAAATATACAATCTAGGAATGCCCAGTTCCCGAGCTTTCTCAGATGCTTTCTAGAAGACGAAATTAATATGTAATTTAAGAACTCCTTCCGATTGTCTTGGGACTTACAATTATTTAAATAACATTATGGCACAGTTGGAAGTGTGTTACAATATCAGTTTTATAATAACAAAGAATCAAATACTAATTTTACAGACAAAAATCAAACATTAATATCGCAAACATGAATCGTGTATGTGCGTTTTACTGGCTGGTAACATGCACTTGTAAAAATTAGTGTTAACTGCAATTTTATTTCAGTACAGATACATTTTAGAGAATTAAGTATCATTATAAAAAAAAATATTCTCAATTATATTAGAAATATATCATTATTCAAAACCACATTAGAAAACGTAATATTTTCACATAAAATTGATTTTCTACAAGTTTAAAAAAAGAACTTATGGGTAACATTAACACAAATGAATAAGACTGGATCAAGACACCAAGAAAACAGTAACATATTTGAACACCATGCAATATATCAGTCCAGTATATAACATTATTATTTCAATCACATAAAACCATTAATCTGTTATATTTTATCTGTGTTGTGACATAGGTAATGGAAGATAAGGTGCAGACAATTCAGTGATGTTTCATTTAACACAATTTTGTGATTTTAGGAAAATTTACATAATATATTTTTACACTTGCCTGCAGTAAATCTAAAAAGTAAATTCTCAAATTACATGACCAGTGCAAGAGTTTACAAAACCAAAATTTTGTTCAATTTTCAATATATACAAGAAACACTAGAATTAAAGAATGAATGTGATATTTTATTTCATTCAATACAGCAAAATCTAACATATCTTAAATTAACTGATCATATAATAATTTTCACATAACAAAAAGGTTATACTGGTTATCACAATAAGTATTTCAAAAGTAAGAACACTACTAAAAAATCAGTACTTACTAGAAATAACAAATCTTCTTGAGGTGCAAAAGTTCCAATTAAATGCGTAATATCATTACATATGACTATAGCATCTCGCCCTTGTGGATACTCAGGTGTAATAAATGTCATTTTCCAAGCTACCATTCCAATCTTTATGAATAATTAGGAGAAAAATAAACACATTTCCAGGCATAATATTATTAACATATATAAAACTATTAAGAAAACAAAATACATTAGATTTATTTTTATTATCATATAATTTTATTTAATCACATATTAACCACACTATTTCCAGCTCTATCACCATAATCAGCAAATTTCACTTTAGTTCTTTTACAAACAGATTACTTATCTATGTGTTATTATGTGATGACAGTGATAAGGAGCATGCTTTGCACCTGCATCACTGTCAATAAACCTTACAAGAACCCTTAAAAGATTTTGGAGAAGTGCAGAGGGAGAATAGAAACCAGCTGTCCAGGAGTAGTATGCATATATGAAGTCTTGGAATTAAGATGATATTTTTTGTGTATTATGTCTGATTAACTTTCTTGATGAATGCAGTGAGAATATTTAATGTGATATGGACAATGAAGATTGGTTGGATAGCACTATGGTTACTTCTAAATCAAGCCTTATGAAAAGTTTGCATGTACTTTCGTTTTTGATGACTTGCCATCTCTCAAGATTTCCAAAGCAGAAGTTATGGATTATACCGATTTTGATTTTCCTCCGCATCACAGATGAAACGTAATTACAGATCATTTTATAATTTTGTTTTCTATTCATCATTCATTTTCTGTTGAGTTTTTGGTTTTATTTTGGCTTAAGCCTTGCACAATGCCTGATGTACATGCTGAACAAATTCCTGTTTATAAAAGATCAGACCCAGCCTCATGGTTTATTATGTGTGAAAATACATTTGCTCTTGCCACTCCTAAACCTGTCACAGAATTAATTACTAAATATAATTATGCAGTTTCTCATCTTCCTCTAGATAATGTGTCATTATTTGGGATTTACTTATGAAACCAGACCTTACTCATCCTTATACAAAGCTTAAAACTGTATTAATAAACCGACCAGGAGAATCTTCTCAGCTAGAAATTCGGCAATTATTGTCTTAAGAGAAATTCGGCTATCAAAAAAAAAAAAAACTTTCCAATTTGCTTAGGAATATGAAATGTCGAGCAGAATCCTTAAATGTTCACGAAAACTTAATATTAGAATTATTCCTTCAGCCATATTATGCCTTCCACCATACAGTCTATTTTGGCAATGGTTTCTGGTTTAACTTTAGACAAAGCTGCAGAAAATGCTTAAACAAATCTAAAATCTGACCCTAGGGATTTGTGCTATTTCTTACACAGTTGATCAATCTATTGAGAATAAATTATTTAAAAAAAAAATAAATAAACGTACTGATCATATTTCCCTGCCTTGTAGTTGCTCGCCAAACTGAGAAGATTACAATACAGAAAGGAGTAGTTCCAAAAGAAGAGTTTATTCTATTTGCTGGTACCATAGGTGTTATGGGAAAAAATGTACAGAAGACAAATGTACTAAACTTTGTTCATGGCAGGAAAATGTAACCAGCAAAGAACAGAAGTGACTCATTCTTTGCCTCAAGTTTCACATTGTTTCAATCTTGGTCAATACCGACTCTGACATGTGCAAATTATTCTCAAAAATGAAATTCTCCCCAACAAACATTTTTCACTGCTAATTCTTTAATTATTCATGTTTATAGTCAAAAAATATTTTCTTTAGATTTCAGATTAAGACTGCAGTTTACTTGGATTTTTTTTTTACAGCAAATGTTAGTACAGCCCTTTTTGGAGCAGATTTTCTCCATTTCTTTGAATTGGTGCCTGATCTTAGAAATAAATATCTCAAAGATTTAAAAATGCAGTTTTCAACAGTAGACTGCATGAAAAATGCAGACATTTATTCAGTAGAATCTGTCTTTAGTGATTGACCATATCACTAAATTTTAAAAGAATTTCCTTCTACTGCTAAATTACCAAAACCTAACAAACCAGTTAAACAAAACATGGTGCATTACATCATAACCAAAGGTTCACGATTGGCTGTGAAACCTTGTCGGTTAGCTCCAGACCGCTTATAAACAGCAAAAGAAGAATTTCACACTATGATGCAATTAGGGCATTTGAGACCTCCGAGAAGCAATTATGCATCTCCATTTAATATGGTTCCAAGAAAGAGAACTTTAGAAAGGAGACCTGTAAGACATTATAGCACATTGAATGTCAAACAACAAAAGACAAATACCCTATTCCTTGCTTAGCTGAATTTACTACTGCATTGCATGGTACTAAAATTTTTAGTCGTGTTGACCTTATTAAGGTGTACCATCAAATACCTACTGATCGTGATTATATTCATAAAACCATCATATGTATTCCATTCAGTTTATTCGAGAGTACACTATTCAATTTGACTTTTGCAATGCATCCGCAATTTTTTAATGATTTATTAATGAAGTCACGCAAGATTTAGAAGGTGTTTATGCTTTCGTTGACAACTTGCTCATAGCCTCTAAAGCTTCTGAAGAACATAGCAGGCATTTGAAAGCCTTATTTTCAATTACATTATTTTCTATTACATTACATTATTCTCTTTTTCCTCTATACATATACCCATTGAATGAGGGAATCACTAAATATTGGCAACATATGATATGTGCAACAAAACTTAACAGGAGAGAAAGAAGGGGGGGAAATTTACTATTATTTAAAATTAGGCAAAAAAGCAATCAAAGCTTGGTTAATTAGTTAGTTCTAAGCACTGGCCCCCAGCCCACCTAGCAGGCGAAACCTGCCATATGGCTATGAGGGGACAGGCCAAGCCACAAAGGCACAAAAAAAAAAAAAAAAAAAGTAAAGTAGATACATACATTCCAAGCACTCCTGGTGAATTACTATATAAATGTGTCATTTCCATTTCTGACTTTATTTTTGAAGTTTAAAATCCTTATGAGTTTTACTTTCAATTAGTTATTATTATTCAAACCCTTTTTATATTATCAAAATTCATCTCAAATTTATAAGTTACCTCAATTATTTCTGTTTTCAGTAAGATTTTCTGCTTTATTATATCTCGATACCAATATTCTTCTTATTCTCATTCACCGTTTGCATAATATCTCTTGCAAATTTTCTAAACAATTTATAATTACTAAATAAATCCTCAAACTTCGCAAATTTATATTTTTCTGTCACACTTCCAGTCAGGCAACAGTCCTCGACGAAATGCTTTGAATCGCCGAATTTATTACAAACTTTACATATATAATTTATTTCCCTGGAAGTGGAACCTTTTTCAGTAAGCAGGGAACCTTCCATGTGCAATGAGAATTTGATTAACATTTGCATCTCCATTTTTTTGCTAATTTTTAAACATTTTAGATAGTTTTTGTTTCTTTCAGAGAGATCCCATAAATTTTTCCAATCTCTAATAAGCTTGTCATATATTGTAGTACATGTCTTCTTTTTCGAATCTTGAATAAAAACCTTTTTGGTCCCAAACCCCAGGGAGCCTTCTTTCGCTAAAGCATCCGCTCTCTCATTCCCATAATGACCAACGTAAGCATTGATCCAATGTAAATTCAAAATATGCTTTTTTCGTAGTTCTAAATATATATGCTTAATTTCATTAACAATATTATTCTTTTGAAAAGATTTCAGGAGCAAATCAAAGCCTGGTATAGGTTTTGAATAAAACTGTCAGTTTCAAGGATATTCAGACAGGTTCCTCTGTTTCAAGGAGGTGCGGTAGCACAATGGCTAGCGCGTTGCGCAGCTGCTCCACAGGACCGGGGTTCGATCCCCAGGCTAGGCAAGGTTGACTCAGCCTTTCATCACTTGAGTGGGTGGATAAAATGAGTACCAAGTTCGCTTGGGGACTAAACACTGGGTGACCTGCGACAAGCTGGCCCCTTACCCAGGGCATATGCTGATGCACTCCGGGGCCCAAGGTCTAAAAAGCAGATATTGGGCCACTGCAGCCACTAGGGCTGTTGCAACATTGAATTTAGTTTTTTCCCTCTGTTTCAGGAGCAAAATGAAGAAAATGTTGATGTTAATTCCTACTCAGTCCTTCCTAACACTTTCAGAATTCTAACACCTTAGTTTTCAATTCATTTCCATTTTCCTTTACAAATGGCACTATGTTCATTTCCCCCCCTCCTACTGCTTTTTGTATAAAAACGGTCTTTGCTTCTCACATATTAAAAACATTTTTTGCTCCTGAAGAAGAAAGATCCTTCTCTGATCACTCTTGAAATCAATACATTTTTATTCAAAATATATACCAAACTAAGGCTGCATATTATTTTATGGAAACATGCACGATGACATAATGATTTGTTACATGCTATGAGAGTGGATTAATTAAGGCATTTATTATGCACAAGAAAAATTAAATTCCATGTGACTAAACAAGAAATTCTTACCCTGTGCATGACAATTCTAGGCATGCTTGTGCATGCAGACAGACACCTTCTCCTCTCTAGAAGAGGGTAATGATTCTTATTTTTAGTGTGATACACCTTAACATGCAGTAAACTCTGTTGAATCAGCTAACAGCATGCAAGACAGAATGCAAAAACTATAAAGTCAAGATTTCTTCGACTATTTCTGCTATTAAATCTAAAGGTACTAAGGAAAGAACACTGGCATACTGTTACCCTTTAATCACATCCCACATATGTTTGATTGGCAATAGACTTAAACAGGCTATCAGCAGACTGATATTTGCACCATTCCACAGGAATATTACATAAAACACAGTACACACATTCAGCAGAAGGCTATAGTATAATTTTAATAGAACACAGCCTCAACAAATAGCCTTTAATTTTTAAAGAGACAAAGTTTTCATTTTTACCATTCTGACTTTGCATATATAAGTTCAAGAAAACTGAAGCATAAAACATAGTGGTAACAACATGTAACCTAAACAAGTTTATTATGATGAAAATGAAAATGTCACCTACATCATTTTCACCTGGTAGCCGTTTCCTCTCTACTAAACTCCCAGCGGCATCTAAAACCAACTCTGTGTGCTTCAATAACTGAGTAGGAACTTCCATTTCTGGACGACCCATGGTATATTCCTCCCATAAACGATTTAATGACTGAAAACAGAGGGGGGAAAATGTAAAATAAAATTAATAAAACTTTTGTTCCCTCATGCACAATATACATACATATACATATATACATACACAAATATACCTGTTGAAACATATCTGGGAAATCATACACATATGTGGTACCATTAGACTGAGCTTGGAAACGCTTTAGTTGCAGATAATCTTTTGTCATATATGGGGTAGATATTGGCAGATCGTGTAATGGACCTTGTTTGTGACCCCATGCCTCAAATTTTGTCAGACCAGTAGCAGGATCAGTAACTTCTTTGTATAAGTTCATATCCAAATAGTAACCACTTTCATTAGCAAGATACAAGCGTATAGGCATACATTTAGCAGTTGGGGTGAGCCTAAAAATACCATTAATCTTCACAATGTAATCCAACATGATAATGAACAGAAGTTAGAAATACATTTTATAAGAAACTTTAAACCCAATGGGTACAGACTATTAAAACAAATTTAACATGTCACTTAATACTTACTCATAAAAACATGTACATGCTTACCTAATGGTCATTTTCAATTCAGCTTGCAAAACTCTCAACTTCCATAGCCTTGGACCATATCTCATAACCATCCCACGGACATTTTCAGCAATCTAAGAATTAAAACGGTAATAGTGATATTTTGCAACAAAGCACAGTTAGCAAAATGATAAAAAGGGACGATATGAATTACTCACTTTAGAGAGATCCATTGTCACTTTTGGAACAAAATTTAAGAAAATATGATTGCAATCCGTTCTTTTAGCCTATTTTGAAGTCATAAAGTAAAAAGTGCTTCAACTTGAACAGTTATATCAGAATATATAAAAAATTCTTGATAATAAAAATGAGAAAAGATTAGGCACATAAACCGAATAAGCACATATAATATCTTACACGCGTAACAGCTTATGACCTACCTGTGGATGAGTAAATGCAACTTCTAATTCATCCATTGCTTCCAAAAGTAATCTTTCTCCTTCATTTTGCAAATATTCATAAGATGCTTCCTGAAAATAGAAAAACCCAGAAACGACAATTTCATTTTTTGTTATAATAAAGCATCTCTGTACAGAAATGAAACATTCATATGCAGTCTAGCAAATTATGATGCTTTACATAAATGCTACTTTCTTGATCCCAATCATAATTACTTTCAGAAAACATCTTTACACTTCTTAAAAAAAATAATACTTTATTTCAAATGCAATAATAATATTAACAAAATGAATAGAAATCTCTGTATAGTTACTAATTTTTAAAAACAGTGAGAAAGAGACATGGTTAAGATGCACATTCCGATTATTTTTTAGATTCAAATTTTTAAAAACAGACGGAAAGGGACCTGATTAAAAATGCACATTCTGATTATTTTTCAGATTTTCAAAAACAGTGGGAAAGGGACCTGTTTAAAATGTACATGCTGATTATTTTTAAATAAATTGTATTATTTACAGGGTACAACAAATTATAAAAAAATAATTAGTACCTCCATACATACGACATTTATTAAAAAGCAGACTATTACATATGTACATGTATTAACATCATACATTAAAACGAAAGTTTAAGGCTTTTTATAGCACATTCAGTTGCTAACTCTTCCGAATTTAATTTTTGAGCGGTGCCATTTTCAATGAAAGAAATGTTTTCCCCATTCATTCTATTTTTATTCATTATTACTTTGAATATTTTTACATAAGAACAAACTCAGAAATTCTTATTCATAATTTTGAAAATTCAGAAATTATATATTATACAAATATGCAAATGAGACTGTGTACAATACAGTGCTGAAAATACTATATTGTGCATAAAAAAGACTGATCAGGAAAAAGGGAAAGACAATTTTTATATTATGACAATTTTATTATGAATAAATGTATAATCCTATGACATTCGAAAGATTTTGAAATTAAAATCATCTCATTACCTTTGTCACTAGGTCTGAATGTCTGATGATGGAACGGATGAAAAATCTATAATCAGTCACTTCTTGTCCCTTTGCAACCTATAGTTAAATCAATTAATTTAAAACCCGAAAGTTACATTACAAAATATTCTTATAACTAAACATGATAGCATACCTTAGCTTTGCCTAAATATAAATGCATCTTTTGATTTGCTGTAGGTATAGCTTCTAAATCATAATTCCGTAAGCGGTTAATCTCTAGCTGAAATGCTAATGCTGGCTCTAAATGCCTATAAATGCAGTCTTCTTCAAACTGAAACATGAAGGAAGTGTAAAAAAACTGAAAATTAAGACTTTGAGAAGTGAGATAATCAAATACTTAAAAAATAATTTCAATGTATGTACATTTTTCTTTTTTTTTTTTTTTTAAACTTTTCCACTTACATTATCTCTTGCCCTGTAAGTGAAATACTTCGGAAACTGTTGCTAAAAGTAAAACCATATTGGATGATTATTAGTAATGTAAAAATGTAAATTCCATCAAAACTTCATATTTATCATTATTTCAGTTTGTTAAAAAATCAGTTTCATAACTCAAAAACGTGACAAAACATACCTTATGCAAAACAATAAATGTAATTCTGCGCAGTTTCTTCTCCAGAAAGAGTGGCTTCTACAATTTTAAAAATATAGTAAAGTGATAGCAAAAAAAAAAAAAACAACTAAAATAAAAATTCTGCATATGCAAAACTTAATTGATAAGTGCAAAAAACATCTTACATTTGCTTGACAAAAATTAGAAAACATCTTGCTATAATGAGCATCTTCATCCATATTTTGCATCAAAATTGCTACATTCAGGATATTTAAAAAATAGGTAAGCTGTTTAAAATGAAAAAAAAAAAAAAAAAATTACTTTCAGCTTTTCTTTCATTCAAGAAGAAACATTCAAGGGAGAAAAAACAAAAACAAAGTACATTCAAGGCTGGAAAAACTATTTTCCTAAAACAAAAGGCAAACAGTAAGTAGTAGACACAGGAGCATTCTGAAAACTTGATACCAATACTGAAAAACTATCATTTAAACATAAAAGATTGAAAGTTCAAATGCATATATTATGGTAAAATGATTACCGAAGGCTGATTTGGCTCAGTGAAGTTACCACGTTCTTCTTCATTAGAACATACATCATCTAGTCTTTTAGCATTTGCAGCAGTCTCAAAAACTTCAATCAACTCTTTAAAATTCCTGAAAGGACAAAGTTAAAAGAAATAAATTTAGTAAATAATTTCACTTTACATATCAATTTAGAAAATGTAAAGTTCACATTTTACAAAGCATTATACATCATCTTTTGCATAAATTATTTATTCAAATGAATTGTTATGAAAGCAAATGAATTATTCAACAGTAAAATATTTTTGCAATGAACTATTTGCCTTATCCTTTCTCTGCTGTATAAATAACATGAGTATTTTAGAGCCCATGAAATATTTTATACCTCTCTTCTTAAGAAGTTTCAGCATTTTTATAAAACATAAACTGCATAAGTTTGTTCATCCATATTGCCTGTAAGAGCTATCAATGTGAAGAGCTTTGCACAGTAACTACTAAACACTTGAAGTTGCCAAATGAAGGAATTTTGCACAAACACACCTAATATAGATAGATATAGGTAAGTGGGAAACACACCAGAATTTTACTGCAGATTGTATAGCTATAACCCTACTGCACTAACCGTTCAGCTACGCTCTGATTCTAAGGCAGAACACACTGGGGGGGAGCAGTCTGAAGGTCATCTATGTGTCCTCTGCGATTCAAACCAAGGCCCACCGGTACAGCAGTCAGCCTCACTAGCCTAATGTACACAAATGGAAGTAAATAATTACTGACTTGGATGAAATATAACTGACCCCTACATTTTAAGGCATTCTCTAAAGTCATTTGTCATTTTTTTCAATTGTTTCATCTCCAGTTTTCTTACCCAATTCCTCAGAATACTTCCAATGATCTCATAACCACAGTCCATTTAACAACTCTGTCAACATCTCCACATCATCTTTCATCGCCATTCTAAAATGGCTTGCTGTCATTTGTGTCTGGCATCATAAATAACGTTTTTAAAACTATATTAAGAAAAACAGCTACCTATTAACTAAACATTTCTTTTTAAATGCATGCACCTAACTGCATCTCTTGGAAATAGTTCAAATTTCACGTATTTTCTGATTAACTTTTAAGTTACTAGTATACTTTTCATATGCATCTAAAATGCACATCCCTGACTTTCCTACATTATGAAATTTTGTATGTTTCTTCCATACAGTAACTAGGTCAAAGATTAAATATTGAGATCTAGAAGTTTCAGATTTTAAAGAGATTAACCACTGAGGATAAGCTCTGAAATGGTTGAGAACAAGAAGTAGCCTCCTTTAAACCTAAACTCAATAAGCAAGCCTTATTCTGCAAGTTATCCATGCATTTTTATCAGTAGAGTAATGTAGTGGCAAATCTCACAAACCTCATTTCCCTAAAACACTTATGGCTTATACCAACAGTTTATTCCTAGCATGTTTGTTGCATGTTATATCATTGCTTTCTTCAAAGCCGTTATCATTCTTGAAGTATAAATTTATCTAATAAGAAACAATAACAGACTCTTCCGTTAACACTATATGCAAGTTTTTTAAACAATTTTGGGTTTTTCTGTTAATGAGCTGGCAGTTGATAACATAAATGCAGTTACACCCACATATTATAATAAGAGAATTTACATTTTTAAACACATAACATTTGATATCCTAGTTCTTGGAGTACTCAAACAAAAGATAGCTTACAAAAAATTACAAGAAACAGCATCACAGTTTACCACAATTTTTTAAATCTTATGATATGCATAGTTAATATTTAAAAGAGAACCAAGATAGTTGAACAAAAAATAATTCTTTAAACAGATTATTAGTAAACCACTTATTTATACTTCTTTCTGCCTGAATAAAATCTTACCTTTCAAATATATCAAAATTTGAATAAGCTGCCAAAAGTCCCAAACGATGACAATTTTCAAATGCTTCTCTAATATCCCAACTAGAAACTGAAGAAGAATCTTCATTTTTCATATTACACGATGTGAAGTGGAATGCCCTAAGCAAACAGCAAAGGAATAGAAAATATACATAATTAAACACATTAGACACCTAAACGCATGCAGAAAATTAAGAGAATTTGCAAATTATATCCATTTTCATGAAAAGTATTGAACCAAAGAATTACACAAATATTCAGAGTACATAAGCTTACGCATGCATGTATGTGGAGCTGTAATTGTGGATGGCATATAAGCACAAAGGAGATTTTCGGTGATTTTGTGTTTGTACTCTTTCAGAAAATTTGCTGTGTTTCTCACAAGAATTGGGTAGTTTTATAAAGTATTTGACAAAATGAGTAGCCATGAGACAGACCATATAAGGCTAAGCTAGTTGACGATTACCTGGAAAGTGATTATATTTGGTGCAAGGATGGGCAGCCAAATCTCCTGACCTTAATACTACACAGTATGTCTGGGATGCTCTTGAGAGGGCAATTTAATCTCTTCATTCCCTTACAAGAACCATCCCAGGGTTGAAAAATGCCTTGTTACAGGAGTGGGATCAACTCTTGCTCTCCAGTATACTGTCATGCTGCGTGACCTGCCTGGGTGTGAGAGTAGACCATACTCTGTATTAGACTAATTTTCCATTTGATATCACAATATGGATTTTGGATATCCCTGCACTGATCCTTTACTGATAATCATATGTAAATAAAATGATTTTTGAATGATACATCTCTTTCTCAGTTTTTTCGTTATGTTTATCATACCTTATTTCATTAAAAAACTGTCCATTAATTTTTCAGAAATTCAACATAATGTGCAAATTCTCTTAATTTTAATATATGTATGACTTAAGTATTATTTTTTAAATAAACAGACTCTTTATTTGAATATCTAAGAAATATTATCAAGTTTCTAAATAAAGAAATACTATTTCCAGTAAATATTCACTATGAATATTTAAAATGCATTTCACCTGTTTGGATGAGATGAAGGTAGAAGAAACTGGAAGAGAGCTGCACAAATTCCAGATGACAAACTGAGGTGCTTGAGACAAGTTAGTTCATAGGAAATATAAGCCCTTCTAACATATACCTACAAATTTTATCCAAGTTATAGAAAGTTTATTTTGCATTTTAGAAGTATTCAAAAATGCATAAAAGACAAACGTTAAAAAGAAAAAAAAAAAAAAAAACTGACATATTATGAAGGTAAAGATAGATAGCATATCATGTTAGTGAAATTTATTTCCTGTAGCATCATAATGTTGCGTACAAAATGTTAATTAAGATGCCAAATGCCAAACATTATTAAAAAATACATGGACATATTTTTAACATTAAAATGAAATTTAACATCCATGTATCAACTTTATAATATACTTTTCATCTAAGAAAGAAAGTAAGATATATAATGTTAAATTTTAAAAGTACAACAGCGAAGTCTTGCCAAAGTGAAGTAATGGGATTTTTAAGCTCTGAATTACATTAATTAAAAAGGAAATTTTTCTGTAGTATATTGAGATTAATCTGATGAAATGGATTATACTATATTGGATGGACTATATTATTTAATGGCTGCCAAAAGCAGCTACTTTCATGTTCAGTTGCCTTTATTTACTAAAACAGCAGTTCTCAACCTTTTCCCTAACGCGTACCATCTAAACAAAAACTGAAAATTTTAGTACCACCACATTTTACAATGATTATTTTTCAGTTTCTCAACAGAAATATTAATACAGTACAAAGTCTTTAATCCGGGGGGGGGGGGGGGGGGGGGGGGGGGGGGGGGGGGGGGGGGGGGGGGGGGGGGGGGGGGGGGGGGGGGGGGGGGGGGTCGTTGGGACTTTGGCCATTCCGAATTAGGGTTTTTTCCGGATTATAGATCATCAATTTAAATCTGCGAAGATGGCATGCAGAAATTATAAAATTAAAAATATGAAACCGTAATTTATAAAATAAAGAGCAATTATGATCTAAAGGGTATCAAAATTTAAAAAAAAAGCTTAATATTTATTTGCTTACTTTTATTTCAACACGAAGATGCGTAAAGCATACATTGCATATAGTCAAAATTAGAAAATTGCAACCAGAAAACTATTTGATGTGTATTCGCAATATTTATAATGACGAGGAATTTGATTTAAATCATATTAAAGACGGAGTACATCAAGATGAAATACTACATTTTGTAAGGAATTATAAGTCGAATAAAATAAAAACATCTGCCCTGAAGATGAGGATAGTGCTGACAAATCAACTTCCAGTTCATTGTGCGTCGCGACGTCCACCCCCCTGCAGAGCAGCGTGAAACTGATAAACATTTCGGAATGGTTAGAGAAACAAATGATATGCCTTTATCCATTTTTTGCAGCAATTCCACTTTTTGTTTGATGGACATCAAAACATGCTTTCGCTTTGTAGATCCTTTGGCAGCTCCAGAATCGGAAATTCTTTTTGACATTATCGAAAGTTCAAGATTACTTTTTATAAAATTGCTCTAACAGTCTGCAAAAAATAATAAGCCGGATCCAATTAGAAGATTAAGGAACAACACAATCTGCAACATTAACAGAAATAGATAATTTTAGCCTATCTTATACGGTCTGTTATACATTAAACGCGCATGTGCAGAAAATTTGTAGCTTTGAGGTCCTGATTATAGATCATTCCGGATTATGGATGTCCGGATTAAAGAATTTGTACTGTGTGTATATATAAATATATTTCCATTCTGTATTAAACTGTATTAAACTGTATTCTATCTGTATTAAACATGCACACATAAAAAATATTAGATTAAAAATTGGTCACCATTTTAATTAATTTAGTGCGAAATTTGGGCCTGTTTAAGAGAGAACAATTTCTTTATGTCTGGTCATATTTCACTTAGTTTTAACCATAAATTAAGATCCATTTTTAATTTTGTTCTGTATTATTTTTCAAGTATGACACGGAAGAAAATCCTTGTTCACACACATAAGTTGTGCAAAATGGCAGTAAAAATTTAATAGCTTTTCTTAAAATGCCTTTAAATTCATTTCTTCAGTTCAGCAAAGAGTTAAAAAGTGTCTTATTTTTTAAATATTCAGTTAGAATTTGATCACAGGAAATTTCTATCAGTTGTTCTTTTTCTTCACGAGATAAAAGCCTTAGGTACATTTTAACAAAATGGATTTTGAATTCAAGTTTCTTTTTTATAGTCCTTTTGAAAAAAAACATGTTGGAATTATTTATCAATGAAAAACAATGATTGTCAAATAAATGTCAAATGCTAATTCTTCTTTTACCTTCAAATTAATTTTGGTTAAAAACTTTCTAAAAGTGGTTATAGGCTCAAAATAGTACTACCACATTCCTTGATTATTAGCTTGACCTTTTTTTTTTATCATACATTTATTTAATCTCTAATGGTAAACAAATTAACTTTGTCCTTGTTATAATAAATTTAATTCATTTACCTTTTCAAAAATATCAGCAAAATATGCTAAACGTGCTAACTATAATTTACTAAATAAACATTTTTCCAATTCAAATTTTGAATCACACAGGAAAAAACTTGATTTCTGATCGAAGTTCAAAAAGACGATTTGAAACTTTGTCTCTAAATAACCACTTTACTTCGGAATGTAACAAAAACATTTCATGTTCACTGGCCATCTCTTGGCATAAAATTGTAAATATTTTTTAATTTAGAAGTCAGCTTTTAATAAAATTAACAATTTTCACAGCTTTATTGAAAACGATTTTCAGGGATTGTTTTGCCTTCACAATGAATGGACAGTGAGTAAATTTAGTTTCAGCTGAGACGTTCTTTATTTGAGAAGTAACACCAGAATGTTTAATGTTAAAGCCCGAGTTCCGTTACGGCATATGGCAGTGCACTTATTCCAAGCAATATCATTTTCAGATATAAAATTCTCAATTACTTTGAAAATTTCATTTGCAGTTGTTCTATTATGAAGAGATTCACAATATAAATAATCCTCGGCAATTCGTATATTTTCTTCCAAACATACATAAACTAATAACTTAACATTATACCAGTTCATTATATCAGTACTTTAATCTAATTGCAATGCAAAATACTCACTGTGTTTTTATTTTTTTGAATAACAGTGTCTTTAATAAATTTGCCATTTTATGATTTCATCGACGTATTGTATCACTTGGTAAGGGAATATTAATAAGCTCATTTAGTCGCTTTTCATTGAATAATGTTAAAAGGATATCTTTAGCTGCCGGTAACATAAGGTTTCCTTCAATAGTGTAAGGTTGTCCAGTCTTGGCAATTCTTAGGCTTACTAGGTAAAACTAGCTCACTAGCTAAACAAAGCTTTTTCACTTTAACTAACAAAACCTTTCATTACTTGTTTAATATTTTTCAAATCCGATAATTTCCTCTTAAAATCCAGATTTATCCTTATTTGGTGTGATTAGATTCAAGATAAGTTTTATGAAATGATAGTTTCATACTTTGATTGTATAATGGTTCATCGCAAACAACACATTGAGATGAAGGGTCTATTTCGTCTCCTTTCCAAGTAAACCTAAATGATAAATAACTTTTATTATGATTTCTATAAACAATTTTTCTTTTCTTTTCAATATTTTTAATGCTAGAAGATTGTCCTGGATCCATCAACTGTGAATCATCACTTTTTCGCTTGATCAATCCTAGCCATGTCCATTTTGAAAATCTAGGTTTGTTTTATTATTTTTTTACAAATATTTAAGTGCACAATATATTACACGAGTTCTTCAAAAACAAACTACAATATTCTCAAATAGCATAGAAAAGTAAGGAATACAAAGGAAGAAAACAAAATACCTGTTGTTAGACACCTCAAATCGACATAAAAAATCATTCTAACTGAAAATAGATCAATATGAACCTGAGAATGGCGGCAACATAAAGTGCAGACATTCTAATAAATCATAATTTTAAGGAATTAATGAGGTGTCTTTGTGGCGACATCATTCACGTGAATGAAGCACCATCTGTGAAACTTCTTGTATGCAATTTTCTTTTCACCAGAGTGGTAAAAGTAAGCCTTCGACAAAAAAAGAGCAATGACAGATTTTCTGTCTGTATTATTCTATATCCAAAAAATGTAAATAAATATTAATCTCCTTGGAGTCAGAAAGGTGTTTAGCATTTCTTATGTTCCAGACTTCCACACTGGTTTACCCGGATGCGATCCAATTCAACTTATGAAATGTAAGATGGAACAAGAACGTATGATGTTTCTGCAATATAACCAGATGTCAGTAATATTATATGCACTTTATAAATAGTCGCCTGTTATCAAACATATGTTATGGACAGCATCGTAAGCAGCTACTTACCCATTTTTAAAGTTCCACAGTCTTTTTTTTCTGAGTTTGACAGTGGATTGAGTGATAGTTTCGATTTCGAAGTGCTTCTGGTATGCATGGATTACATCAATAATTGATGGTTTGACTGTTTTTATGCATCTGTGAAATATAAATTCCAAGTGTATGCAGGACTGAAATACTTCTAAAATGGTAAGTCAACTTTAAAAATTTAAATTTTGTTCTATATTGCAATATGTCTTCAGTGGTTATGTATGCAATTAGAATTTTCAGAATGTATCAAATGTCTAAAATTTAATGAACTAGTTTTTACTCAGCAAACTTTAGCCAGAAAAACTTAAGCTACAAAAAAAAAAAAAAAAAAAAAGAAAAGAAAACTAGCTGTACTTCCGTTAAGCCTAATTCTAATATGGCTGAAGGAGATAACAGTAAAGAAACCAAAACTAATGCAACATATGTGACTGTCGCCAAGGTCAGCATCAAAACTCTTCCTTTTTGGAAACCTGACCCCAAAATACGGTTTCTTCAGATTGAAGCCCAATTCCGCAATGCTGGAACTATGACTGATCAAATAAAATATGATTATATAGTCAGTTCTATAGAAACAGGGACATTGTCATAAATCTCTGATATTCTCACCAAACCACCAGACAACGGCAAATATCCAGCCATTAAAAAGAGGCTGACTGAAATTTTTGCCGACTCTGAAACACAGAAAACCCAGAAACTTCTAACCTAATTACAACTGGGTGATAAGAAAGCATTCCAACTTCTCTGCGAAATGCGTAACTTGGCAGCTGAGAAAGTGCCAGATGAATTTTTGAAAACATTGTAGATGCAACGACTACCATTTAATATGCAGAGCATTTCATCTGTAAGCAGTGATGATTTGTCCAAATTGTCTACAATGGCTGACAAAATACGGGAATTATATCCCAATCCACCTCAGGTAGCTCGCATTGTTACTTCCCCATCTGATAACATTATAGCCGAAGATTTATAGAAACAGATATCAAACTTGACACTGCAGATTGCAGAAATGAATAGACATAGAAATTCCAGTCCACTAAGATGACGATACAGGTCAAATTCTAGAAATCATTTCAAAAATAACAATGACCCAAATAATTGTTATTTCCATCAACGCTTTGGTGACAGTGTACAAGTGCACCCCACCATGTAAATATCAGGTCTCGAAACAGGAAACTGAATCCGCTGCCTTCGATGAAGACAGAAAGTCAAGGGGTACAGCTAAGTCTATATATTCATGACATCACATCAGTAACACATTTTTTAATTGACACTGGAGCAGAAATATCGGTTACTCCACCAACACAATCGGAAAAAGAACTGTGGCTAAGCTTGAGTTATTTGCAGCTAACAGTACAACAATCAAAACATATGGTAAAAAATTATTAGAACTAGATTTAGGGCTATGCAGATCTTTCAACTGGCCTTTTATTATTGCAAATGTCCGATTTTCATTAGACAACCTTGTCCTCTTTCAGTCTGCATTCCAGGTATTGCTTCTGAATCAAAATCTTAATTATCAGATGACTCAGCAGATGCTTCTGCCATGCTCAAAGGGTCGTTTGTTATTTCATCAGCCAATACTTGCTCTACATTCAAAGGATATCTTCTTCTCATCAAGGATATTTTCAAGAAATGATACTTCTAAATATTTATCATAGTTAACAGTTTTCAAAATCAATAATAAATCCAACATATTGGGTTATAACGATTTGCCTAGAATTTTTATTCCACAGTCTGTGTGCGTGCATTCATTTGAGTATCCTACAAAAATATGTTCCGATCAAGGATCAAATTTCCCTTTAGATCCTTTTATTAAGTATGAAATATTTCTGTCCAAATACTTTCAAGTAAGATACAACTGACTTGATGCCAAAAATAACTCATAGTGTCTTGTTTACTCAGAGGCTTTGAGTTGGGCAATAACTACATACATAAACAGCACAGTTCAAGAATTCAGCCCAAAAGAATTAGGGGGGGTTACTTCATAATAACAAACATCTGGCCGTTTCAGTTAAAGTACAATTCATGCATTCAGCTCTCAAATTCTTTTGGGGAATCACAGGTGCCAAGAATCCTCATTTAATCCTGCATTCTTGAAGAAAAGTATTAAAGTCTCCATGAATTTCGAGAAAACCACTATGAAGGATTTTTATTTTCTTTCCCACATGATTTTCAACCACAGTTTTATATTTTAACGAATGCATTTTTCACTTTGTCTTTAGTTTTAAGCAAACTAACTTCTACATAACCATGATTTATTGTCTTCAAAGATAAAAATATAATGCAAACAAGCACAGGATGGGATTTACATAGGTCCACACAAATCTCAGTGAATCAAATTCAGTAATCAATCATTTTGATTCTTTTTGAAAAGTTTGCATAGTTTGTTTACCTTGGATACAGATTTTGCAGTCTGTTAGAGATTTTGTCATTAAAATTCAAATTTATAACTGTTATCAGATTTAAAGTCTTTTCAAATCAGACTTGTTTAAATGGCATAATTTAAGATGGCACTTTACAAAATCACTTACCAGTGCCATTGTAGATCTCTCAGTCCTTGGATATATACAATAAAGATCACCATTACAAACAGCCTGCACTAGTATAGATCTATTCAGCTCTATTATTTTAACATGTTATTCTGCAAAAAGCTCTGCACGATTATTTGTGGCAGCTTTAGATACTGACAGCAAATTACATTTTGATTCTGGGACACAGCACATTTTTGAGTGTGAGGAGGGTTGTCCCATTCCCGTTAAGCACCATTATAAGGACCGTTCCAATTCCTGTAATTGTCATTTTGTCAATTGCTAGCTTTTCTGGAGAATTCATCCGAGGATGAAATTCTGAAAATGACCTTCTGTCATTGCACATGTGAGATGTACAGCCACTATCTAAGCACTAGTGCCACTATCTAAGCACTGTGAGGAAGTCTCTTGATAAGCATAGTTTACTGCTAAACTAGTCACTTCTTCATAAGTAATAGCCATTATAGAGTTTTGATTTCTCTTATTTGATTGCACATATTTTCTAACAGCTATTTTCTTCCTGCATTAAGATGCTTTGTGCTCAATTTTTTAACAGTAGTTATACTTCAAGTTGTAATTTTTTTCAGTAGAAAAATTTTTGTTTGAATGCCCTCCATTTTAAATTTTTCTCCTGTTCTTTATGCCTCCTTTTATTTTCAGTACAGTACAAATTTTGCAAATCTTGAGATGTTTTCCCTTTTCTTGCTTCCCATTTTTCTAACAATTTGATTTCCAAAGATTCAGGATTAGGTAATACATCTCTTGATTCAATGGTGCATCTAAAATTTTCAAAGTTTTCTGGAACACTGCAGAGCAGAATAATTGATAATTGATCATCAGCTATCCCAATTTCCATTTCTTTAATTCCCTTCGATCACACGCGGCTTTGACTTTATTTCACACAGCATTTGATATCACACAATACTTTATAAAACATAGTTCACTAGGCTTAATGCCAAGAATTATGTCTGCATGAGCTTTCTGATCTGATTGGAGTCATTTCTTTTTGTCTTCACTTCCTTCCGTAAATTTCAGTTCTTTACCGGTCACATAATCCCAGTGATAATTTTTAATCAATACAGCTTTCATTTGTAGTTTCCAGCTGTCAAAATTAACTTTTCCGAGATTTTCTATAGTATTCAAATGTGACATAATGTAATACTGTCTCTCACAGCCAAACCAAGATTAAGCGATTAAAAAAAGGCTTAACAGAACAGAGGTCAGTTCTTACTTTCAATTAGACAGTTTTTGCATTGGATTAGGCTTTTGCATTGGAGTTCAAAGCTCGAAAAGTCCATTTTAAAGAAAGTACTTTGCTACTTAAGCACAGTTAAAACATTCCTGGGCCCATAACCATTAAAGGAAAAATGGGTCCAAACAGATCATAAAAATCAACATTTAAATTAGATAGGACACTGACAGCATATGCATAGGAGAGAAATCAAAGCCAATCATATACACAGATACATACAATCATACAGCAGAGGAGAGAGGTTGAGTCGTCATGGTGTCTTGATAAGGACGAACTACACATGCATCAGAAGAAGCCGGGCTCTTAAGCTATATGGCGGATATTATAATCCAACATTTTATAGCAATTCATATATTAATAGTATTAGTAAATGGGGTATGATATTTGAATAATATTATTACCTCATATAATATAGCTATAAGTACAAGCTGATAATCTCTGAGCAAAAAATAAATTGAAATTCAGTTACTTAGTTTCTGAATCAAACTGAAGATTTTACATACTGTTGCTCACTTATTTCTAGATGCAAAAGACAGCTATTAACAAATATGTTTGCTTACTAGATTACAACAAAACCCTGAAATGAAACTTTAGAACTCAACAGATTAATCAAAAAAGTTTACCTCCAGAGCTGCTCTTCGAACAACAACGTTACTGTGGAAAAAGAAATCTTGTAATACATCAAAAATTGAAGTTTCAGACATAATAAGTTTTTGAAGGTTCTCAGGACAGAAATCATGCCCATACATGTCAATAGCTGATAGAAAAATTGATTCCATTTGATTATGTCGTAGTTCATAAGGTGGCTGATGAGCAGCAATTAGAACCTAAAAAATAAATAAAAATAGAGGTATACACAGAATTTTATCAAATAATGCAGTTACAAAATTACTGTATTGGATATTATACTACACACAGACTACAATAAAATACGCAGACATCTAAGTTAATACCAAAACTTTATTATTTTTCCTTATTGATTAATTACTATGAATTTTAGTAAAAAATTATGGTGCGTGTGTGTGTATATACACTTCACTTAACTACAGCTTCACTTAAACAGAATCAAAGCCGTAACTAAACAAAAAAGGTAAATTTCATGAGGAAATATGCCTACTAGTCTTCAGCTTGCTTGCTTCACCATGATCTGTCAGTTCTTATGTCATGTTAGTATAAAGACATGAAGTTAGAACATTCAGACAAAATCCTTATACAGTCAAAAGTCGTTAATTCGGACACCCATAATCCGAAATTATCTATAATCCGGACCTCAAAGCTAAAAACTTTCTGCGCATGTGCCGCGTTGACACATGCGCATAGGCGTTTACGCGTGCGCGTAAGACTTTTTACGACTGCGCATATGCGTGTGCGCAAGTGCAGAATACGTTTTCACATGCGCGTTTTACGTATAACGGATGGTATAAGCTAAAATTATCTAATTATCTATTTCAGTTAATGTTGATGATTGCGTTGTTCCTTAATCTTTCGAATAGGATCCCGCTTATTATTTTTTGCAGACTGTAAGAGCAATTTTATAAAAGTAAACTTGAACTTTCGATTATGTCAAATAGAATTTCCGATGCTGGAGCTTCCAAAGGATCTACAAAACGAAAGTATGTTTCGATGTCCATCAAACAAAAAGTGGAATTGCTGCAAAAAATGGATAAAGACATGAAGAATGTGACAGAGAGGTTAGTGAAAACGAAAAAATTTCGATTGACAAGTTAGTCGGTATTCTCGGCACAGCAATTAACGGGACTTGAACAGCGGAACTTTGTAACTGAAAAAGAAATTATGTCTGTTTATAGAATTAAAGAGAAAGTATTATCACATAAAACGAAGCAACTTAAACAACTTACATTGAAAGAAATGTTTAATAAAGTAAACAAATAAATATTAAGCTTTTTTTTTTTTGTAAATTTTGATACCCTTTAGATCATAATTGTTCTTTATTTCATAAATTACGGTTTCATATTTTTAATTTTAGAATTTCTGCATGCCATCTTACGAGATTTAAACTGATGATCTATAATCCGGAAAAATCGATAATCTGGAATCGCCGAAGTCCCGACAAGTCCGGATTAACGACTTTTGACTGTAGCAGTTTCCATGATTCTGCAAGGTCCAGCTGCCTAGCAAATAAGTTCTGCCTATGCCAATTGTGACCATCAAGCCCTTGTGTAAATGCTAAGTTAAATGGCAGATTTATCCAAAATATAATCTTGAGCATACACTCTTCTCTGTGAAATAATGCAATATACTACTTCAGTATTATTATTATTATTATGTTGCTGTTGTTTGCAAAAAATACTACATTATTTTCATATATTAACCCATTGAATGACCTCCACTCGATTCTATTTACGTTCCGAAAACTGCAGTAATAAAGAATCATGGGTAACAAACATTTTTCTGTTATCTGGAACTAAAATGGTTACTGTTAAGATTTCCTTCCCTGCTCTTTGTAGGGCGATCAACTAGTCATTTCCCTTAACTAATGGATTTCCTAGTGTTAAAATGTTGTTCACTGTTCAATGCCTAGAGGCAATAAAGCAGGTGGTGGCTTACCTTACCAAGGAACAAGTTTCATCTGCATGCTTTGGCAAGAAAAAGATTTTTTTTTTTTTTTTGTGGAAATCCAAAAACAGAAAAGGAAGGTCCCTATTGCCTTGTTAATAGTTTTGTTAACATTATTTTAATTGCTTAACAAGTAAAAATTTTATTGATTTTCATTGCATTTGGGTACATTAATGTATGTTTATAGAATGTTAATTTGCTGAAAATGCTAATAAAAAGTTCTTCAAAAATGTGCAGTGCAAATATCTTAAATAGAATACAAATAAAAGTTTCAATTTAATTTGCATATCACAGTCATAAAAATCTTATGACCTAGTGAAATGGTCTAGTTTTAACCAATTACCTGCCTTTGATCAAATTTATCAAGTTTTTAACTTTGCAAGAGAGTTCAAATACCTATTTCCTATTGAAATTTACATATAAAGGATAATTAACACATTATTTAAGTAACGAACACATGTTCAGTGTTGGTCATTTTGGCAAACTGTTTGTACTTCATTTTATTATAAATCTATTTCATTTATCTTGTTTCATATTTATAAAAAGGAATTTTGTGTTTATCTCATTTATTGGTTGACAGAAGTAATAAAATAGTGAATATTTTGAAAGGAATTTCAGTTATAATCTTACACGACAACCTTGTTAAAAAGTTATCTACACACAGACAAGATAATGTCACAGATACATCTGTTTCCAAAATAAATGGCATGGTTGTAGAAATCATAAAGGAACATTATTTTAATTCTTAAATACAGCACTTTTATTAAATTGCTAAAATTCATTTTAAGGAAAATTTAGAATAAAATATAGATGTGGAATGTTAAATATTTTTACATTTCAAAGTGGAATTTTTATGTTTTTTCCCATGCCTATGCAATATGGATACCAGCAAGTTTCCCTTAGAAAGTTCTCCACAGAGGCAGTCCTCCCTTTAGGCAGAGCCCTCACATGGTTTGAAAAAAATCAAATAAACCAAACCCAAGCACATGTTTTAGGGTTCTTGTATGCAAATTATTTAGATATCTCAATTCACATTATCAAACATTATAATTTAAGTAAATAAAAGCAAGTTGAGGATTTCCATTTAAACTTTGTTTTACAATAAAAAATACGAACAAAAATTTTTGAATAAATCTTGCGAAACACCAAAAGGCCCACGTAGTATATAGTACCCATATAGTACTAATATTTTGTCTACTTGTTTCCAACATTTCACGACAGCAAGCCTATTTCTTTTCCGCTTTCTTTTTCTGCCTTTTTTTTTAAATTACTGTATCTTGAGTTTTACTGCAGCTATTAGGTCTTCTGAAGTCTTGCAGCATACATTATAATTCAAAACATAATACAGCTTCTTAATATCAACAAATTTTATTTTCAATAAGTCACTAATTGATGCTTAAAAATTACAGTTTATTGTTTTAGGCAATTATTCTGAAAATAGTCATTTACATTCGATTTTAGGAAACGCATGCTATCAGAAAATGCAATATATTGAGCACTAATATTACAGGAAAGTGCTGCATATTCAACAATTTCAAAATTTGTAAATATAGCATAACTTCTTTTTTGAGTAATTGTGCAGAGAGTTTCCTTTAAGCGAACCTTAATGGAATTTAGTTCACGAAAGTTTAAAAGTATTAAAATAACCTCAGCATAATACATGGCCCACCAGCGGTAAAGTCCCTAAACACTGGTAGTTTTGCTCTGAGGAATGAATCTCGAGAATCGGCTGGATGCATGGCCATTTTTGTGGTTTTACCCCCACGTGTAATGTGTTTTTAATTTTCACGAGCCAGTTTCACTTAGAAAGTACTCCATGAAAGCATCCCTGCCTTCCATGTAGCACTTAGGGCAGAATACATAAATAATACTAATAATAATATAATGCATATAGTTTGCCTCTGTATAATGTATTATCACAGCAAAGTTTTATGAATTGTGCAGGAAAATATATAATAAGAAGTACAGCAATAAGAATGTATTATTGAATATACATTTCAAGAGAGTAATGAAACATCATTCCAGTATTGAAGATATTAAAATAACCTCAGCATAATGCATGGCCCACCAGCGGTAAAGTACCTAAACACTGGTAGTTTTGCTCTGAGGTATGAATCTCGAGATGGATGCATGGCCATTTTTGTGGTTCAGTATTGTGTTTTCATTAAATACAAGTATGCTAAGCTATAGAACTCACTTGACTTTTTTGCAATTACAACTATAATATAATTATAGCTGTTAAAAAACACTGTATCCATATTAACTAGAATTATAGTGCAATTCCAATTAAATTTATCAATACTCTATATTAAATTTATCAATACTTCATATTTTTAATTGTATAATTTTTGTATGCCATCTTACCAGATTTAAATTGATGATCTATAATCCGGAATTACCGAAGTCCCGGCGAGTCTGGATTACGGACTTTGTTCTGCACTTGAAAGCTAATACTTCAGACTGAATTCCTACAAATTGTAGATTTCAGAAGGAAGCATCCAAAAAAAAACACATTTGCATCCACTTAGAGCACCAGTGACTGCAATTTCCATTTCATTTTCTTTTTTGTGTTAGAGTGACTACAGGGCAGTAAAATTATATATTATGGAAGAATTTAATTATAACAGGCTGATGTATCTTCACTAATAATACTGTCTTGATTCTACAGAATGGGCTTGGATTTACTGGTTTTAACTTATTTATTCCTCTTTCTTTAACATAAGAGCTGTTTCACTATTTTTTTGTCACAATTTTAACTTCTATGTTCTTCAAACACAATATTTCACTCATAATCTAGCATAATTTCTGTTATTTCATCACATCATGCCCTCTCCAATTTCAGCCAGCCTCGCTGAATTCGAATTCAAATTTAGTGACTTCAAAAAAAAAAAAAAAAAAAAACTTATAGACTAAAAACTTCAACAGTGCTTCCTACATGTTTTAGAAAATTAATTCTGGACTTTTTAACTCCATTTGCCAAGATCCTGAAATTATATTTTATCTGCTGGATTAACCCTCTGACAGGTGGTGGGACGCCTGGCGTCCCATCTTTTTTATCAGATTTTATTTCCCAGATAAAAGCTGCAAAATTCAATTTAAAATACATGCAATTACACCTTTTACTTCTCTAAATGTATAACAGATGGCAGCACCAGTATTCATTCATGGAAATGTAAAATAAATATTCTTTGCAGGTCTAATTTTTAAGAAGTTTTTTTTTTTTTTACCCCCCTTAATTTCTAATGTGTTTGAACAACAACTTTCGGTGTTAGAATGAATATTTTTATGCGAAAGTTTCCTTTTCTAATAAAAATTATTACTTGAATTCATTTATATTAATTAAGAATGGTTGAAATTAAAAGGTGGGACAAATATGTCCCACCACGCATGTAGGAATTGCTGCTACTAGATGGCAGCATCGTTCAAATACTTCAATATCAATATTCAAGTATCATGTTCATTTAATATGTTGATAATGCAAATTTATATTTTTTAATAAATTGTAATAATGTTAAAACTTAAAAATATTTAGCATTTTTTCCGAAAGAAATTAAAATATAACTCTGTAACATGAAATGTCATTAAATACTGAATGGATATGTGAGTGTGATTCACCATAGAAAAATATCCTAAGCGGAGGAAAGAGGTAAATGCAAATAAACCTGACAGCCTTCTAAATAGCTTCCTTTTCAAACCTGTAGCAAATAAAGTACCGAAGCGAAAATCATATTATGAAATCATTAAAAAATATCAAACTCGTACAGAGAGTGATTTTTTTTTTAAATATGCAATTTTTTTGAAAGAAAAAAATTTTATTTTGCGAATATGATCAATATTTTCTAGATAATTATTCAAAAACGTTTTTTGTATCTTGCATTTTCAATTCGTTGCTAAAACTAGCGCTTTAGATAAGCATGTTAGTCGAATTTATGCCCAGGCAAAGATGCCATTTTACTGCTCTAGATGAACGGTGGGACAAGCGGTATCCCACAACCTCATGAATTACCTTAAAGGTTTACCTGTTTTTTTTGCATAAAATAACATAGTATTAGGGGCTAATTATCTATGTGTAAAGTTATTTTTTCCAAAAAAAAAAAAAAATTATGCACCAAACCTCAAAGGGTTAAGCATTTGCCTACAGTTACAGTTTCTTTCTTCAGCAACTACTGGAAGATTTTTTTCAAAGGAAGAATTTCAAAACTTAATGAGAAAGGATCAAGAAGTTTTAAGCTTATGGTGTAATTTTTGTTCTTATAGCTATACTGACCTGTAAAAACCTAAATATTGAAACTGTTAGCTTCTCTCATAACAAATAAATCCAGAAACTGGTTCAATATCAAATTTTAACTAAAAATAAAATACCTCTCCTGTGTTAAAAAGAGCAGTTAAAACTCTTTTTAGACATTGCTCAGCTTATAATTATTTCTAGTTCTTCTTACCTGACGAGCTCTTAAAGCTACTTTTGAGTTTTCCGATTTATTTAGAGTAGTAAGATCATTTAAAATTGCAGCTAATTCATCTGTCAGTCCAGGCTCATGTCCACACAGATGATCCTAACAAAAATGTTCATCTCATTATATTACACAAATATACATTTCATTAAAAAAATTTCTAAATGTAAAACTGAAAAATATGAAAGGTTTTTTGAAAACTGAAATTTGAGTTAAAACAGTACAAAAGTAAAAAGAAACTTTAATTAAATCACAAAAACTTACAATGAGTTTTATTATAAGCTGATTCTTTTTGCTAACTTGTAAATGAGAGAATATCTTTCCAACCACAGTAGCCATTTCATCTTTATGCTTCTCTCTTAGCAATGCCACACATTTGTCATAATGTCCTGAAATCAGAGCAACTTTATTATACTTCAATATTCTAAAATTCATTATGTTAAACATTCAGATCTGGTGCACATATATTCATGCATGCAAAGAATATTAGCACTGCATAATATTATTAAATGCAAAAAGCATTTGTATACTTTGATATACCAAGCTTAAAATTATATATTTAAAGATCAGCTAAACTAAATTTTAATAAAATGATTTTCAAGAATACACATTAAAGTCTTTACATATACTACTTCTATTTAAATATTTAATTAATTTCAGCCTATCACACATGGGTTGTGTGCTTAAAGAAAGGGATACTCTTGCAAAGAACTTTTTAAAGGAACATGACTCATTCTGACATTATGCACACAGAAAGAAATAGTGAAACACCATTCATCTACTGAGCTAAAGACATGATTAACTATAATGCTCAATGGCTTAACTGGTATGCCATATTATATTAAAAAATAGATTATAAAAATATAAATATCTAATCAGATTTGTCTTATTTCAAAATTTATTTACACAAACATTAGCACATACTTACATGCAAAAAAGTACGTATTTATTTCATAAAAAATGTGAAATGAATTTAATGTAGCATAATTCCATGAAATTCCCAATTTTTCTTTTAAAAATGAAATCTACAAAGAAATGACATTGCTAATATCTGAGACAGGATTTGGAAGTTTCATATAGTTTATGGCCACAACAATTTTTATGATAAAGAAGATTCAGTAAGCCAATCATTTTTAGATTATGTCTGGCCATTCTCTTGATGGAAAAGAATGTTATGAGGAAAGAAGTCTATAATGCCATGGTCATTGTGTTAAAGGAGATGTAACAAAACAGTTACTTTATGTTTTGGAGCTATCCACAAAATGCTGCAAAAACTGACTCATGATAGAGTCTACTCTGAAACAAGTGGAAAAAATACAGGCCCCAAAGAACCATCTGATTCTCAATAAAAGAATTGGTCTTAAATCTTTTCAGCCTGTTTTAAAAAAAGGTTATATTCACAAGCTTTAGTTGCTTAGTAATATAGTCTAGAAATGTCAGAGCACCCACTTAATCCCTTAAATTTTTGTATGAAGTTTGTAACCTTTCAAATAATACAATACAAAACTTGAAAGGCCAATATCCAAAACTCCAGATCACCAGTTAACCTTCCAGCATGCGCGTCTGCACAAAATTTACGACAAATTCAGTTTTGAATGCAAATTTTTTGCATATTGAAGCTGAGACATCTGAAAGTCATTTCTATTCCTCCTTTCTACCTTTCCCCACATCATGGAATACGCAACTTTTTTCTTTTTTCTTTTTTTTTTTTTAACAGGAAATTTGTGCTACGTGGCAGCTTTTTCGTAAAAATTACAACATGCGTGTGTTCGTGGGTGAAAATTCGGAAAGTATTTTTTTTCTCAAATATTTTGTAATTTTGTGTTATGAATTGCCGTGTATTATTTTAATTTGAATACATTTGGCTCTGTAAATTTTATATCAGTTTTCATGGCAAAAAAATATGTGCAACCAGCTGATTTTGCTTGCATTCTTCAAGAATTATCTGATGAAGAAAAGGAAGACAATGAAACCTTTGGATGGGAGAACAATAGCGATTTCCATTCCTTATTTTCTTTTATTTCTGTTTTTAGAAATAAATAAAAATATTAATGGTAGTTTAAAGTGCATATTTGTAACCAGTAAGAAGTAAATTTCCTTGCAGAAGTAAGTAATGCTAAACTTACTTTTTTTCCTACCAAGGTGTATCCCTTTTTTATTTATCTATACTTGCCTTTGATGAATATTAAAATTAGCTTCGATTTTAAAATATAATTATTAAATAATAAATTTTAAATGTTCTATAATGAAATACATCGTTGCATTTCCTTCTCACTAACATAAGAACTTAAAAATAATTTACTTATATTTGAATGTGCTATCATTTGTATTTTGCAATAATAAAATTAATATTTTATTTCTTAACAAATTTATTATCAATATTCCCTCATTTGTGTTGTTTTTCATGCCAAAAACGGTAAAATAACGGTTGTCGTAAAAAATACGACGCACGTGTTCTCATGTAAAATTGCTAAGTGCACGTGCTGGAAGGTTAAGCTTCTTTCCATACAGTCTCGAAATGCAGAATATAATATTCAAGAAAAGCAAGTGTGCCATAAAAACAGTTCTTCTCCCAACTAATTGAAATTCTTGAATGTCACTTTTAAACACCTTCTGGCATCTGACTTAAACAATAAATAAAATCTTAAGACACATTTGTTTGGAGTGGTATGTTGCTTATACTGGTTTTCTTTTGTTAACTTAGCAGATGAAAGAAAAATTCCGAAGAGTTTCAGTTCCGATAACCTAGCAAATTGTGCTCTTCCATAAATTTCTAATTTGATCCAGCTTATTTTTTGCAGGATATAACTAGTACAGCTATTTTATCAAAATTTAAATTTGTATTTTTGATTATATCAAAAAGTTTTTCATTCTAGATTTCCAGCAGTATCAGCAAAAGCATACTTCAATACCATTGAATCAAAAAGTGGAATTCATGCAAAAAAAATATATGTACGCATAGCAAGGTATATGAGAATGCAAAATCAATAGTATACAAGGGGAAAGAAATTGTTTGAATTTTTATGGGTTCTGACACCCCATTCACAATGAACAAATAGTCTAAAAAATTCATTCATTATGCTAAAAGTGATAATCTTGAAAAAGTAACAACTGAATGGATGAGACAGCATCACAGTGAGGGCATGCCTTTGATTGATGCAATGTTAATAGTTCAAGTCAAAATACTTCTTGAGGAAATGGGACTTAAAGTGACTGCACATATTTGACAAGTTGGTTAACCAAATTTAGAAACTGCGATGGTATGAGACAGCTAAAAATTTCAGGTAAAAAAGCTTAGCTGAAAGCAAAGCAGCTGAGCAATCTGTAGATGAATTCATCAGACTAGTTAATAGCAAACAATTGACACCAAAACAAATTTAAGACCAATGAAACTGATCTTTTTTGGCAATATCTGTCCTAAACTACTTGTCAATACCTGTAGAATAGGTCCCAATTGGAGTCAAAGATTCCAAAGCCAGACTATCGATTTTGACAGTACAAACATGCTGCAGGAACTCGCAGATGTAAACTATTTGGAAGGGGAAAAAATGCACTACCATAGGGCATTTAAAGGAAAAATTTCTTCATCACCTATCATTCAAATAAGGAAAATGAATAACACAAACATTAATGATTGATATTAAAATCATTTCACATCATGTAAAGTCATGCTACCAGATGATGCAAAACTGTGCTGATTATAGAAAACCCTTTGGCTTGAAGTTTGACTAAAAAATAATATTTCCATCTTATTGTTTCACTCAAATTTGTGCATCCATCATTCAGCAAATGAAATTGGATTGTTGTGCACAATGAAATACAAAGTAGCCTTTCAAAAATGTATGTTAAGTAGTCTGAGCAGCAACAAGGCCATTCAAGAATTTTTTAAATATTTTTGCATAAAAACTTGCTGCATGGAGCATTACAAGAGCATGGGAAGACATATCTGCAAATATTTTTTTAAATGATAGTCATATTGATGATGATGATAGGTCACAAATTAGAAAAATTTTGGATATCACAAGCAAAACATGAAAATTTCCAATTTACAGCCTTTGTGGGGAGGGGCGGAAGAGAGAGGTGATAATAAATGAAGGTAATACAACAGAAACTTTCCATTATGATGACAATGACTTAATAATCAATCAATGAATGGGAATTCTCAACACCACATTTACAGGACATGAACAATGAAACTTTGTAACCGATTAAGAAATTATTAATAAAATTAAAGCCAGAGTATTAGCAATAAAAACAAAACAGCTTAAACTGAAAGAAATGTTTAGTCAGTGAAATATTGAACTTAAATTTTGATTCCCCTTATCCCTTCTCATACCTTTTGATAATGAATAATTTATTATTTCATACATAACTACTTCATATTTTTTATTTTATAATTTCTGTAAATGATCTAGTTAAATTTAAACTGAGGAGTTAAAGTCTGGAAAATTTCCAAATCAGGAATCATTGAATTCCTGACGATTTTGGACCTTAGTCTTTGTATTGTATACCATTTGTATACCTTCTTTAGCTTCCATATCAAAATTTTTCTTTGTTACAAAGATAATTCACTTTCCTTTCATAATATAGTAAGATTTCTCTCCCTGCATGACATATCTGAGAATGTTAAAAAAATTTTCTCACGTCTCAATTTAATATTTTTTTATTTCTCTACACACATAATGCAGTTTTACGTTCCAAGTTTTTTCATCCCTTTAAAAATGTCTTTCTTAATCATGAATACCTGTCATAGCAATTGCTTTTGCTACTTTAAACAAATCATGATGTTTATCCCGTCATACTTTTTCAAGTTGTCAAAACAAGCTATTTGTAGCTTCTGCACTAACAGTATTTACTACTGTATTGAGCAGAAAAGAAATTTGCCAAAACATTAACAGTTCTTTAAAATTTCTGTACATAAATATGGTTATTCTGAGAGAGGAAAAAAAAAAAAAAAAAAGTTTACCATTTTGAAATTCTGTTTCAACAGATAAATACTGACGCAGAAGATCTTGTACCACAGCTTTCATCCTGCCACGTATACCATTTCTGTACCTTTGAACTAACTGAACGATACCTTGTGTTGTCATAAAGAACACGTCTCTATCAGATCTTTTCTGAAGAGTGGCTGCATAGCTGTCAATAACACTAGCTATCTAAAAACATAAGTCATTCTAAGATGCAAAAAATAAACTTTCATATGGAGAAGTCACCTGCAATCACTAAAGGGGAAAAAAATGCAACATAAAAATGCCATACCTGTTGGCTAGGAAACTGTGCTAAGACAGAAGTTATGTTACTTGAATACATAGACATCAATTTCTTTATATTTTTTTCCACATTAGAAGGAATTCTTCCAGAAATTGAAGATATTATTTCCTGTTGAGGAAAATTAAGTTTAATTCTCATAATAAAAATAAAAACATATAATCTCAATAATTTAAGACTAAAAATACTAGTATCACTAGTACCATTTTATATATCACAGCAATGTAAATACATAAAAATTCTACAATAGGAAAGAAACATAGTTTGACATATACTAAGGCAAATGGAATTCTTAGGAATGAATCACAATAATTTCGTCTACAAGATGTTAGGTTTACTTTGGGGGGGGGAGTATCAGAATTTTGATATTCACTGCTGTTTTACTCGCTTCATCATGAAACATTTGATCAGTTTCATTTCACTTCTTTAATCTTTATTTTGAGAATGGATTTTCATCCCAAACTTTTCAGAAAACATTAAAAATGATTATCACAGAGCTAGGCAAGTGATTAAAAAATTAGAGAGTAGTTAACAGATGTTTCATCAATATGAATTTCAAATCATATTCCAAATCCAAACAAAGAACACAAAAGAAAAGCTTTTTTATGAAGGTTTCTGTAATGAGTTACCCATCAGATGAGTCAATGTAAAGTCAGAGGAGTTAAGTAAAAAAACAGTTTAACAGTAAACGTGATCTCACGTTAAAATACGAGTTATTTATATATTGCTTCCATCTACTCTTTTTTTATTTTGTGATTAAAGCTGTTTTCAGCTAAAACATGTTTATGGATTAACTGAGTTTTTGCTGTATACTAAATAAAATAAAAATGGGAATCTGTATCTATCTGTATGTACACTGTATTTTTCATAAAAGTTCTTATACAACCTTTTTAATTTTGAGACTATTAGTTAAAGACAAATATTTCTAGTTACAAAAATGTTTTAAATAAGGCAAATGTTGATGTTTTAGAGATTTCAATGTTAAGGAATCAATTCTGTAAAAATTATGAGATGTAACTTTCCACCAGTTTCTTTCTTTCTTTCCAGTTTCCACCAGTTATATTTATTAAAATTTTATATACATTCTAACAAATAAAACACAAAATGTTTGATTCTCACACAATAAACATTAATATTGATTTTTAATCTTAAATTTTCACAAATATTGTTTCTTGAAATTTAGGAGCCCTACACAAATTTAAGACATAAAAAAATCTTTATGCAACTAAAATTTAAATATTAGATTAAGAAAAGGTTTCTGTACTAACAGATTAGGTGATAAGCAGACAGTCATGAAAAGTTTTAATCAATGCAGATTTCTACAAAAAGGAAATTTAACTCATAGAATCTTACAGTATTTGTGTTCTGGAAAAACAGCAGCAGGCTTAAAGTACTGACATAGTCAATTTGCATAAGCATAATTTGCATTTGCATAAGTCAATTTGCATTTGCATAAGATTTTTAAAAAAATTCTAGTCCCAAGAATTTTTTGTGTGGTAATTACACTATAATCATAAAATAATGAAACTATACGTGAATACTATTAAAAATTTTCAGCTATGCAATAGAAACAATTTAAGATAAAATTTAAAATTAGGCAGAAAATGGCAAATTTTGTTTGGGGGTAGATTTTGAGTAAAACTATCAGTTTTGAAGGTGATCAAGCAGAGGTTCCTCTTTTTCAGGAGCACTTCAGAAGCAAGTCTTTCTTCTCCTGAAGAAGAATGACCTGTTTCTATCTGAACTCCAAATCCTCCAACCAAAATTTATGCCAAACAATGGTTGCTTTTTGGAACTAATTTTAAATATTTTTAGTATTTGAAAACATTCAAATTACTCACTTGAGAATGCTTGAGCCTACCAACAAATTAAAAAATCTTGCATACAAGTAAATTCAGTAAGGTATATAACTGAACAACATTAAATGGGAAAAAAAAAAAAAAAAACTTTGAATTAACCTAATTTATTTTGCAAGCAATTCCTTAAGGCGAGAAATAAAGATTGTTTTTCTGCCTCTGAATATCTAAAAAAATCCCAAATGTTTAAACTAAATAAGTTGGCCAGGTTTTGTCATATGCGAGTAAAAATTTTTGTATTTAAAAACACGTATACACTTTACTAAACATAAAGACCAGGGAAACTTTTAACAGTTAAATACAGGCTGGTCAGTGATGTTCCTCAAAGGCAGTTGTGTGTTGTCTGCTCTAGCGGCAATTTTAAGGTGAATAATATGTACACAGTTAAATACAGAAAATAAAGCCTGCATAAAATTTTTATGGATATACCCAGAGATAAACAGCTTATGCTTAACCCTTTTGTGCCGACTGTCACGTCTACGTGCCAGCAACGAACACACTCACTTCCCGGCCGACATGCAGGCATGCCACAGCGTTCCCATTCAGCCCCCACTGTCACGTATTTGTGCCAGTGAATGTTTAAAAACTATAATTTCTGCCACAAGATGGCACTGTATATCCATATGGTTTCAGATACATGTACATTAGAACTTCTACTCGGAATGTCTTAAAAACTATAATTTTAGTCCTGGAATGTTTTAAAAACTATAATTTCTGCCACAAGATGGCACTGTATGTCCATATGGTTTCAGATACATGTACATTAGACCTTCTACTCGAAATGAGAGAAGCATGACTCACATACACGTGTTTTTGATTATATAAACAAAAGGGGAAATAAATGTTTCCGAATGGCGTGATTTATGACGTCTCTTTAAATTCGCACATGGTAGTTGTTTATTGTAGGTAGAGAAGTTTTATTTTCTCTAAAGCATTGGGTATTTCGGTTTGCAGTTCAGTTTTTAGAAAATAATTGGATCTTGTTAGACGTGAATTCTTTCTGTTTTTACCGTTGCAATGCCGAAGCATCGAAAATGTTTAACAGAGCATGAAATTGCAGAAATGATGCAAAATATTTCAGATATTGATTCTGAAATTCTGATATTGATTCTGAAAGATTAACTGAAAGCCATTTTCCAAAACTTTGTTCAGAAGAGACTGATAAGAAAATGAGACGACGATGCTTCGTTTGTTCACATTCCCGGAAAATTCCTCCAAAACGGCAAATGAGTTATTACGAGTGCAAGGAATGTTACGTAGGACTGTGTGCAGATTTCAAATTTTTTTCAAATTTTTCATACGAAAAGAAAATTTTAAGTAATATATTTAGTTTTCAGATGTATAATGTTAAAAGTCATAAAATGGTGAGTAATGAAAATAAAATGTGTAAAAGATGCATTTAAACAAGAAGTAAGGTAATTAAAGTATATATAAAAATATCTATAAAGCATAAGCCGTTTAAATACTCTATAGAGCATTATTAAACAATGCGTTGATACTTCGGAAATTTCATGGATTTAGGCTTAATAGCAAAAAAGCCCCCGGCCCTGGACAGACACTCGCATAAGACACTGCCGGCCTTCGCGATAAGCACGCGTTTGAGCTAGCCGGCACGAAGGGGTTAAATCAAGAAACAAAATGCAGATTATAACAAGATATTCTACAGCTGCCATATTCAACAATAATTTATAAAAGCTTTCGATTGCCTTTATATTTTAACAAGAAGGATGGAATGATTTCTTTTCCTACTATTTTTAAATGCGGGATATGAAAGACATATTTGTAGTTTTAAAAGTATTATTAAGTAATTTTTAAAGTTAAGGTTGCTTATTATAATTGTGCTAAAGCTGCATAGCCATACCACAGTAAAGTTGTATAAATTTTCCATAGCTTGTAACTATACTATAATCTGCTTTGAAAAGAAATGCCTTCCTTAAGAAATCTTTCTCGGGGAAACTTTACAAACAACAGGTTTTACAAATGCCGCAAAAGCTGTAAACAAGAGATCATGAAGGTAGTTAATTTTTCCTGAAATCAAATGAACGATGAAACAAAAAATGTCTCATGTTCTTATTCCAATTATTCACTGGTGGCAATTTTTTTTTTTTTTTTCTCCTTAAAGATTGGTAAGAGTTATGGTAAGAGTCAACCATATAAACAACATGCTCATTATTTCTTTCAGACACATACTAGCTCTGATATAGATGACAATCAACATTTACTACAATAAAAGCAGTTTACTTTCAAAAATGCAAAAAATTACTCTCATATTACAGGGAAGAGCTATATTTAAATATATTTTAAGAAAAAAATAGATGCCAACAAAGCTAAACTTATTACAAGTTCAATAAGTTTGGCTTTGCTTTCATATACATGTTTACATTTAACAAATCCTTTTCTTCAAAAGCACTGAAAATATTTTTTTTTAATTAAAGAATAACTAACTTGAAGTTCTAGAAGAGGCAGGCTAGGATCCCGCAATGTTTTCATAAAAGTATCAACGGCTTGCATCATTTTAGGAGTGAAGTATGGATCAGGTAAAGCGTAACCAGCCAGTATATATTCAAGTTCTTGACGTGCAGCTTGAAATACTTGATTTAATTTATCGCCATGCCAGCTAGGAAAATCATCATTTGGGAATACACCAGTAAACAACTGAGCCTAAATATTAATAAGAGACTTTCACATCAAATTCAAAATTTCAGAGACAAGAAAAATGCAACATTTAAAAAAAAAGCGCTTCAAATTGAAATGAAATAAAAGTATCTTTCAAAGATATAGCCTGAAATAGACTCTCAGTTAACTGTTTTATAAGCAAACAAGCACACATCACTAGCTCATCAGCAAAAGTAAAGGGAGAGCTTGAGGGAAGAGGGAAAAATGTGAGTTAGAAGTTTTTAAAAACATCATCGTATTAAATGCTAAAAATATATTAAATCATACCATTAAACATCCAATACTAAAAAGAAATTATCAGCTAAATTTGTTATCTCTTTAAATTTTATTCAGTATGTGGTTAGATTATTTGAACACGGCAAAGCACGCAAGAGCTACCATCTGTCTAAAGAAAGGTATGCCATTGCATACATGACCAAATGAGGAGGATTGCCTAAGTGATTGCTGTGGAGGACAGGTATTCACATTAAGCATGGAGAAATCATGAAAACCAAACATGCAGTCAGTCTGTTCACCTTGGGTTCAAACCCAGATAAAAATACAGTGTACAGTAGTCTTAGGCACTTGGTCATAAGTAAAGCAATGCAGTACATAAAGTTGCATGTCCATTTGTATTCTATTCATTATAACTAAATACATGTTCAAAATTAAAGTTGCCAGAGAGTTTTTTTTTTTAATTTGCTACTAAAAAAAAAAAAAACCCCACTATGCTGATAAATTTATCATTCTGTGATTTTTGGCTGTTTAGAATGTGCTTTAATATTTTATATGTTAATGATCTACGAGTATGTTTCCAAAGGTATTGTTTTAAACTAATGTGCTACACATATAAATTTGCTGCATTTTATTAAAGCAAAGCATTCCTGTGAAATATTTTGTAACTCAAAATGGCGCACAGCAAGAAAATAGTTACTATTTATTTTGTATGGAATAGGTTTTAAGCACTTTTACAACAAACAAAAAAAAAATTATACTACTCATTACTTAAATAAAAGAAATAATAATATAAACGCAAACACAGAAACACAGACTGTATAGATAGATATAAGAAAGAGGTAGTGATTGTGATTGGTCATACATTGAGCCATCAGATATTTGGCAGTGGCAGATACATGACCTACTAGACATTATCTCCCCCTAGAAAATCTCTGATGTGACAAGGCAGTTACCTACTGTGGAACAGCGACAGTACGAATATTATCTGTTATAATATATATCCAACAAATCAATTTGTAATGTCTACGTTTGCCTGGTCCTGTAGTAAAATTTAGTCTGGCTGGCTCATAGCAAAGCGTTGGAAGTAAGACAGTATGTTTAGCTAACAAGACTGATACACTTTCTTCTACTATACAGTTTTTCAAAGGCAATCAAAACTTTTTGCAAAGCTGCCCAATTTTTTTCATTTCTGCCTAATTCTTCATGAAAGTGAAATTTATCTTTCATTTTTTTCCATTTAAGGGAAAGTACATTTATTTATGTCTTTCAAAAATGCAGAAAATTATCAAGCAATTGTTTATAAACCAGGAAACACATCTTTTTCAATTTTGAATAACAATATTAAAAAAATTCTACACACTGATAATCTGAAAGTGCTGACCAACTTCTTTATTTGAAAGACACTTTAAAATTTTCCACTGAACTCATGGACCAATGAATGCAGTATGTTTTATTTAAAAAAATATTTTAACTAAGAAAAGCAAAAATACTGAAAAATAAATTTATAACCTTAAATGTTTAGGAAGATACTACTGCTCTACAAGCACTGTTTTATAAATCACAGAATTATTTCCAATTCCAAGTAGTGCAAATGGTACTGGAATAAAGCCTTTGGTAGGCCCAACTACTGAAAATAGGAGTGGAATGAAATACATTCCCATTAACTTTCTTGATTATAATTAATTGTCAACACAAGAAATCAACAATTAAAATAAATTAGAAAATCTAATCAAAACCAGACTTTAAAGTAACAGGAAATATATCAGTACAAAAACATGGCTTTTTTTAAAATAATTAACATTTACCACTGCCAGTTACTTCAGAAAAGTTGAAATCTTTTTTTTTCCTTAGATCCTTTTTTAGCACTTGTTGGTACAGCTAAAAGCATTGCAAAAGGTAAACACTGTCAGTAATCACAAAGAATATAAGACTTCAAATAGCACGAAAAGGAAAATAATTGAAAACTTGAATCAAAGGTATTTGAAATTAAAATAAATACGGTAAGAAACATTGATGATGTATGAAAAAAAAAAATGAATAACTGAGGCAGGAAATAATACATTAGTTTTTTAACTATCCAAAAGTAGCAAAAAACCAACAATGGACATAACAAACTTATAGTAAAATAATAAACAAAAATAACAGAAATTTGCCAAAATAATAAAGATTAGAAACAATAGAAAGTAAGCAGTACAATTTTTTTAGTTTTCATCCAACTTGATGTATGCAATAAAAAAAGACCAAGAATCAATTTTTTCAGAAATTAAGTTTGTTTTTAAAAGTTTTACTAGTACACATGTCCTCTAGTGTATGTATTTTATATAATATGCATGGCAATTTTTTAGATACATCTCCAGATACATTTGCTCAGTTTTTCAAGGACACATAAAAGACATCCCAGAATGGTAAGCACCACGTGAAAGAAAATCTCTTGCTTAAAAATCTTATGAACAGTTTCCTAAAATATTAAAATATAACAAAGTCACAGAGTACTAAAATGTCTTTACTTAGTTTCTGGATATTATAGTTTGATAAAATGAAAACTATAAGTCATGCACATTATCAAACATGAAGAGCAGTACTAATGATATTTACCATTGCACAATTTATTATTATATACATTATACTTAATAAATACAAATACATATATATTTACTCTTTTCATTTGTGATGGGTCATCCAATTCTAAACGAGCTAAAATGGTACCCGCTTCTAACACTGCACCAGGACGTTTCACAAAGTGAATGCTGAAATGAAACTACATTAAAAAAAATTTGAAAAGGAAAACTTATGGAAGGAACGGATTTTTTTATACATTTTATCTTATAACTTACCAACCACTTTCACTTATAGTCAAAGTCATAACCATTTTCATTACTTCAATTTCAGCATAAGCCTGAGAAGGATAAACATGAGCACCATCTTCAACAAGGAACTGGATAAGTTTACCAGTTGAAGGTGACCTAGATATTCATAGATTTGTTTACATTATAGTTCTATCATGATACTTTCATGAAAAATCATGAAAATATGAAACTAATATTGTGAAAAATCTTACCTTAATATTGTTGGATCGTTTTCCTTTTCAAACACACATGTTTGATTCCCAATCACTACTCTGTAATGATCTATCTCTTCTTTCACATACGTAGTGTAACTTGCACCATCTACTGATAAAAGAAGTCCTCCATCACTTAATCTATGCGCTTCAATTTCCTTGTATGAATTATTCATAGACAAAAAGTAGCGACTGGGACCAGACTTTGTAACCTAAAAAGTTAAAATTTTGCTTTCGTTTATTCTTTAAGAAATATATAAATAAAATGTTAGTCACGCATAATATATTATAATGAAACAATGTGGAACACAATATTACCTGAACTTTATATTTTATACCATCATAAATTAGATCTACATCAACAGTATTACCCAGGATATTGGCTGGCATTATCTGACCTCTGAAACGATAAAATGAAGACATAACTTACCAATACAGTTTAATGTTGTTAGCATGTGTATAATGACTTTTTATTGCAAAACAAAAATATACAGACACAAGCAACTTACAGTAAATAAAACAACACGCAAAATGATACTACAAAGATCTTCCAAAACATTTTTTACATCATGAAGAGAAATTAAAAAGATAAACTGTTTACACTCATAATACAACTCTAAACACATAGCCAAGACAATTTAATATGGAAGAATACTAAATGCAGTAATTTCTACTCTGTATATTTAACTTTAGAATGGTAACTATATGTCATATTTAGGTACACTAAGGTAAAATTATACATTGCTCCTTTATTTTCTCTTGACCAGCCTGATACTCTAGCAAATCTTGTCCAAATTAATTTAAAATAGCATGGTGCAAAGAAGGAAAATAGCCCATTTAGTTTTCCGTCACTGAATTTCACTCAAGATTAAAAGTGCCAAAATTATGCATAATCGACATTAACAGACGAATAATATTTCATGTGCTAACCATTAAAACTATAACTATATATATACCAACTGTCAATTACCACACCTACATGTTCATTACAATTATGCACATTAGTGTACAAAATTATTACCACATAAATTTATACAAAATAAACTAATCTACATCAACATTTAGCTCTTTAAGGTTAAGTTTAGAGGAATACCCACTTTAGAGAATTAATTTAGAGGAATGCAACAAAAACTGTAATTCATTTTTTATATTTTTGAAATAACCTCCCACAAAGTTACATAAGTAATGCATTCTGTAAACCTTTACATAACTCAAATTAATTTAACTCAAAGAGTAGCTTCATAAGAAAGTGTAAAAATTACTATATATGCATGTATCATATATACGTTATAAGATTCAAAAGTTCCTGGACTGAGTCTATAACATAAAAATATTTTGCAGTAGTGCGACTACGAGAATAATTTTGTGTTACTACAGTCTCCCCCTTTTCTAAAAGTGGTTTGCCCTAAATCATGTGGCCAAAAGCTCGCACGACAGAGTTTTTTTGTAGACAGGTGCATTTAGTAGCCAGTGATAGAAAAAATGGCATCAGTTAAGGAGAGAATCAATATCAAATTTTGTGTTTGTTTGCGAAAGAGTATCACAGAGACTTTTGAAATGTTGAAGCATGTGTACGGAGGTGAAACATTATTGAGAATGCAAGCTTGAGTGGCATAGTCGGTTCAGAGAATGCAGGGAAATTGCTGAAGATGACGAAAGCTGTGGCGTCCTGCGATTTCGTGCACTGAAGAAAACATCAAATAGGTGTCTGCGGCAGTACTTGCGAAAAGGCAGCAAACAATTTGCCAAATAACAGAATCAGTTGGGATATCAGAGGCCACATATCAGCGGATACTGACTAAGAATCTTAACATGCATAGGGCGAGTCAACACATTGCTCCCCACATGTTAAACATAGACCAAAAGGCAATTTGAATGGAAATGGCAGGAACTTAATCTCGGATGTTGACAAAGATCCTTCCCTACTTGGCAGAATTATTACTGGAGACGAGCAATGGTGTTTTTTGTACGACCTGCAAACGAAGAGAGCATTGGCAATGTGGAAATCACCACAATCTCCACGGAAACAGAAATTCCGCAAAGATTGCTCTAAAGGAAAGGTCATGCTAGAAGTATTCTTTGATATCCAGGAATCTAGCATATGGAATTTATCCTTGAAGGATGCACTCTGAACAAAGAACTCTACATTGAAATCCTGCAGCATTTGCGTAAGTTGATTTGAAAGACTCAAAAGCCCCCAAAATGTTAAGCAGTCCTGGGTGCTGTTGCATGACAACACTCCTGCTCAACAATCCCTACTTGTCAATGACCTTCTTGCAAAAACAGAAACAACTGTTTTGCCTCATCCTCCTTACTCATCTGCACCCTGTGACTTCTTCCTATTTTCTGAACTGGCAAGATGCATGCAGAGTTGTCGTTTTCAATCTTCTGATGAAATTAAATGTGCATCGCAGGCTGTGTTGCAACTCAACTCTTGTTGAGATCCGATGGCCGAGTGACGTCATCTCGAACTATGAACTCTCGTTTAGAGCTTGCACGAGAACTCTGAATGCAGAATTCGCACGCTGCGTCGTGCCACATTTAAACACTTTTCATTATGTAAATATTCTGTAACCCGTTTGTGTCTTCATTAAATATGTTTGTGTAAAGAATGTATTGATCATTATTTATTATTCCCTTCAAAGATTCTAGATAGAGATGTACAAAGAAGAGATCAATTCAACAGTGGCCTTAGTAGAACCCATTAGGACAAGGTAAGCAGTTTTGTTTTACCTTGATTAATTAGTTATAATTATTTAAATAACACTATCGATAACGATAAGGAAATAAATAATAATATTGTGGCGCCATAACGTGGGCCACTGGGTTGAATTTGAACTGAAATTTAATAGATTTTGCTTTGCAAAAACATGGATTTAGAAAAATTAAAAATGAAACGATCTGCTATAAGAGCAGTAGTTGCGAAGCTGATAAATAAGATAGAAACAGAAATTGCTAATGAGGGGATAAAAATGTAATTGAAGAAACGTTTTGCTCAGTTAATTGGTAAAGAAGAAGAATTAATATCTTACGGATAATGGTATTGAAACTTTAATTGACGTAACAAATTTAGAAGATGAAATAATGTCTAGAGAAGGGTATAAAGTAAGCATTGTTTGGAAATTAGCACGAAAAGATATTTAGATACTAATCCAGATAGCGCTAATTCTACTTCATGGGAAACTGTCACTGAATCGCAAACAAAATTAACTCTCCAAATTGGCCCTGGAAACGTTTTCGGGAAAGGATGTGTGCAGTTGGCCCGGGTTTTGGGCACGATTTGAGACAGCTGTACACGAAAACGAAAGTCTACATGCAGTACATAAATTTAACTATTTAAAGTCAATTCTTACTTCCGATGCAGAAACTGCAATACAAGGGTTGACGTTAACAGCGTAGAATTACGAGAAGGCTGTGAAAATATTAAAAGATCACTTCGGACGCAAAGAACTAATAATAGATACCCACATGAACAGTTTATTAACTATGACTCCAGTTAAAAGGTCTTGCAATGTGACAGCACTTCGAAAATTATATGGTCGTTGTGAAGTACAAATTAGAGGATTAGAAACGTGTCATATTTTACCGGATTCGTACAGTACCTTATTGTATCAGATATTAATAAAGGTGATTCCGAACGATTTAGCACTAGAATATAATAGGAAATATGAAGATGATAACCAGACAAAAATTACAAATTTGCTAACTATTTTAAGAAAAAAAATAGAAAGTCGAGAACGTACAGGATTTTTAGTTAAGCCAACAGATTCTGAAGTCTCTGAATGGAAATCCCATTTAAGTCACTGAAAGGAAATCCCATTTTGAAAATAAGCGGCAGTTTTGAGAATGTTTTCGAGACAACGAAAGAAAGCGGGATTATAATAAGGGTAGAATAAATAAGGTTGTTTCATGTGTCTCAAAAGCTATCATTTAGCAAGGAACTGCAAATCGAAACTTGTGGTATTTGTGATCGACGACAGCATACATTGATACATTCTGACGAAACAAAGGCATCAGACAAGAGGCCTATCCAAGGACCAGTAGTCTCCTCTGTTTCCGATTGCACAACAGTAAATAACTCATTTCTTCTGACAGTACGAGCTGAAATTATAAACACAGGCAATTGGCACCAGCAAAGTGTTCACATCTTCTTTGATTTAGGATCGCAGCGAACATTTATTAGGGAGGACATCTGCAAGAATTAAAACTTCCGGTTTTGGAGAGAAAAATAAAAATATTCTCTTTGGTGCACGACTTCTGAACGCAAATGTTTAAAAAAAATCAGGCTCATTTTGTGTAATTACATATCGATATGAATCAAAATAGAAACTTTAATTATTCCGTCTTAATGGATCACATATTCATTCCCCTAAATGAATAGTTAATCTTATAAAACAGGGCATACAACTTTCCGATGAATGGGGACAAGGAATAAACCGCCGAAAATTTTTTGCTGATAGGAGCGGATTTTTATTGGAAAATATTACGGGTAGGTTCACAGAAGTCTAATTCCTTAGTAGCGGCTTAACCAAAATTGGGTTGGACCATTAGTAAACAGAAGGGCTTACGAATTTCCACAACTAATGTGAAATAATGAAGGTTGTGGTTCATAATATAGATACCAGAAAAAATCACTGTCTAGTTGGCTGAAGAATCTCTGGAGCTTCGATCTATGGGGATAAATTATGATTGGATAGAACTCGAATTAATTTATAAATTTAATCGAATATTTACTTTTTGATATTTCAAGATCGTGAAATTTGAAAACAATCGTTATATGTCCGCCTTCCCTGAATTAATTCAATGAGCTTGAGATATGTGGAGATTGCTAAATTAGATTTAGAGTTTAATCGTAGATTTCAGAATATCACAGTCTATGACCGATATTGCAAGTAATTGATAAGTATTTAAAAAGAAGATCGCCGAAGAGACACATAAATTGGACCCAAAACTTATTTTATTCTCATCAAGCAATATAGAGAAAACAGGAAACACAAAACTCCGTGGTTTTTGCACTTTGTCATGTGGAGAATGTTGTCATTAATGAGTGTCACATTCAGTCCCAAATTGTCCAAATACTGGAATTGCTCCTAAGTTCCGTCAAAATCGAATTGCGTTTACAGCTACATCGAACAAGCATTTTTGCAGATTTCTCTTGCTGAAGACCAGAAAGCAATTAGTTCTATGGAACGTGGTGAATTAAATGGAACCAAACAAAGGCTCTGTATGACATGGTATTTTTGAAGGCATTATCTAGTCTGTTTCTTCTCACGCAACTCTTAATGTACACGCTGACAATCAAGTCCCCAGTTCCGAAGTATTTTCCATGCTAAACGAAAATATGCATGTTACGACTTATTGCTAGAGCAGATGAATGCTAATTTTGAGGAATCGGAACAT